TGTCGCAGCAATCTTCTTTGGCAATTCATTTCCTTGAGTGTCCACGAACTTTCTGCACAGAATAGGTGGGAAAGGCAAAACCCAAGACTTTTCGCATACTGAACTGCAAAATCCTTGCAATGGCATGTACACGCATGTCCACAATACAATCGCAAAGGGCTTGACCATTGCAAACAAGACCGGTGTACACTCCCCGAGCCATAGCTTTGAGAGCGTATTCCACATAGATGATACACCGCAGATCACTGGAAGCGGGAGTCCTTTGCAGTGGTAGATACAGGGGATCGGAAAAAAAAAAGCAAAGTCATATATGATTGCACAATTCATCACAACTTCTAGACTCTGAGACGAAAAAACCTTATGCGAATCTTTATGACTCATCCCAAATACGCTATGTGCACAGGAACACGTTTTAGAACTTCAGGAAGGTGTGACGTCGGTGGAAAATGAAACTTAATGGATACCATCAAATTTAAGACGAATTTAAGACCAATTTCGAAAACAATTATGAAAAAAACAAAAGTTCATTAGTTCACATTGTCACAACGTATATAGTGACACCTGCCGATTGTTAGAGGATTCGAATTCTAAAAAGAAAAATTCTTTCTCTTTGGGCATTTTTCCTTGTAGAATATTCTGACCGATTCCGCCATTTAATTTCTTTTACAAGCTGCTTCTTTATGTTCAAATGTCCGAAATATTAGTCTATTGTGTAGCAAGTATCGATGGGTCTTTTATTGACTGCCGAAATTTTTCACTTCTAAGCAGCCTGCAATAAGTCAACATGAAATCAACGTTGTACTTGCATATTTAAGAAGTACATTGCTAGCGTTGAGGGCACTAGCCTTTAATAAGTCACACAACGCTACCATAACTTGGCACATTTTACTTCGCGGTCCATTGTTGGAACGAAAACTTTACCACTTACGAATTTGACGTGGCAGGTCAGTATTGTACTACTCACCACGAAAGTTGAGGGTACGATTACTTTTAACTTCCCATTTTGCACCAAACTTCAAATTTTCTCTGCAACTTTAATTGCTAACCCCAATGAACAACAAAAGACAAGAGCACAATAATGAACGCTGACGAAGAGTTCATGGTAGTTTATTCTTCGAGTTTATGACCGTGGGAGCAAAGAGTATTATACCTTCACTCCATGAAGTGTTGCCCCATGACTGCAGGAAACATCGTAACTCGAATTCCACGTGTGACCTCACCAAAGTCCTCAATGGGGACTGTCCTTCCATAGTCACCGTTTGTGTTCAGTTCTAGTGGTCTTCGTGCCATGGTCCAATGGCACACACAGTAGTTCTTTGTAAGCTTTGACAATGATACAAAAGAAGACCTGAGACCTGAAATCAGCGTAAGTATTGACCAAAAAAGAAAGAGATTGAGGTTGACATTTCTTCCGTCATGGATTATAATTTCGAAATCCTTTTTTCTAATGAAAGCAAGCCTCTCTAGAGTTTCTACACTTGAGCACTATCTATCTGCGAAGAAACTACTGCCTCCAGCATTGGAAACATGACTGCAAACAGTGATCACACATGATTTTATGATCATGTTTACTATGACGTATTCCATGACAAACAAAGTCAAATTCTGCGCATAACACAGTTGTGCCCTAGAATATATACTTAACTATCACAAGAGTTGGAAGTCAGAGAAAACAGAACACAGTAGGTCGATCATATGATATGAGCTGGATCATTGTTAGTAGGTTGGCCCTTATGGATTCTGTTTTTTCTAGCACAAACTTCATGATGAAGCTTAGAGAGAGGAGGGAGAAAGATATTGTACCTTCAGTCCATGTAAGTAGATAAGATCTAGTGAACGTAGAAGATTTTAGGTGCATTTTCATACTCGATCTCTACACACGACCAGAACTAGTCTCGTGGCTTTACATTCGTAGGTCAAGTGCATATACATGGGGTTATAGGATACACAAGCAGACATACTATCTTCACGACATCCATCCGCGGGAGTTCTGTTCAAAACATCAGAAAGTATTAGACACAGGAAGTTTTCAATCTTGCACGTAAAATTCAGAAATAATATTATACATAGAAGCGCTAACTCGTATGCAATGGAAGTTTGAGACACTAAAAGGTGGTTGCGCTTAATGCAATAACTCAATCGTCTCCTTGGCTATCTGCACTGTGCTCTTCTAAAAGTATTGTGATGCTTCAACGAGACAATTTAGACCTTTGTTTGGATTACCTAGCAGCTACGGATTCGAGCTTCATCGTTATACACAAGCAATAACGCTAGCAGAATGGCTGACGAACCATATTCTTCATATTAGCATCGTAGCCATCGGTTATGCCGATTCAGGATCATATGATTTACAAGATTTACATAAGGGAGGAGTCAATCAGATCGCGAGGAGAAGGGCACTGAAATGAACGAGCAGTCTATAAAGTACGCGTGAGTACTTGACAAGCTTAAGGCTGAGCGTGAATTAGATATCAACATTGACATTATTTCATTTGGCTTGTGAGGCTGTCGACATATAAGCTGCTACCTATCATTACAGAACTGTTGACAGACACGTTGATGCAACATGTGCGAGCTGTCAACGAAAATTGTCAAATGTCTCAGGTGCCTTGATTACTTCTAAGCAAATCTTCTTTATCACATTGTGTGTTCAGAATTGATGAAATGTTGACAAATCCAGTCCAAACGGGAATGATGTCGACCCATTTTTCTATGGCCATGAACGTGCTCATGACTGGTAACCCGTGTTTCGATCAGCTCAACTGGTCTTCAACTTCAACTCCAAAACATCTTGCGCTGGAACATCTACAGTCATACAATGATGAGAAATTCATGTCCTCAACGAAGTCACCTTTGAAAGGCATGAACGGTCGCTCGGGTTCATTCATACCAACCTGAATTGTACGATCTGGTTCTCTATGAAGAACCTAGCTTGCGGTGGAGAGTAGCTGTCCTTCCTATTTGTGTGCAGTACAGGGTGCACTGCAGAAGCATGTTGATTTTGTTCTTGTAATTGTGTCAATTTGGAAATGTCTGATCTATGACTGTGGAGGCCTGTGCAACTTGTGTTTTCCCGAGCAGAAAGTGCCACCAGAGTGACCATGATCTCGATGCTTCACAAGGAGCAATCCGCAGCACTTCAACGTATACAGGTAATTTGGTGTTATCAAGTATATTCGTAAGAATCCAGAAGATGGAGTTCATCACTTTTGAAGCGATTGTTCGGCAGCAGGATCCTCTGTATGTAGCGATGGGGATATTCAGAATTCTCGAGACTAGTATTTTTGTCGTAAAAGAAAAGTGCCGTCGAAGAGAAGAGAAACTTGGGACCTTGCGGACCGAGTACGAGATGAATGCGACTACAATGATTAGAAGGCGGGTATTGAAGAATTCGGAAATTCGATCTCAGGAACTTCTATTTTGTAAATTTGTAGTGGTCCAACGTTATCAACGAGTTGAAACTTCATCTTAAAATTCCAAACATCTACAGCACTTAGGGTCATGGGACTGCCCAAACTACAATTATAAGAAGCGGTATCATATTAAAATCACTGTCATTATCACCATCAAAGCCTGCAAGGCAACGAAAACCTTTTCCCGTCAGCAGCAGCCAAATCCTCGCTCCCGATGAGGAACCTCTACCTGCTAACTGAGACGCTTTGCACATGGGTCCACCTCTGATTATGGGAACCGAAAGTCGAGTCATGGAGTAATTACGAAGACAAATGCTCATACGATTTTCGCTGAGCCAAAATTAACTTACACACGAAGTCATATGTACATTTCATGTATTCTTCCTTGCTCAGCGACTTCAGTAGATTAGTACATTTTAAGAGTCGAAACTGCAGTAGACATTGTGACCTCAGCTAGTGGTTTTCCACATGTGTATGAAGCGTTCGATCTCTGATTCTTTTTCTGCATTTACAAAATGAAGGGATTGCACTGCTCCGGAGATTCAATACTTGAGATAGTGGCTGAAAGTCTTTCAACAAAATATAGACGTACTTAGTGTCGGGACTGTTCTTCTATACTCTCAATATACGTCCCATTCACTTCATCTGCATCTCACAGCCGATGGGCACATGGCGCCTCTTTCGGTTTCCGGGCTTGCCTTTTCTTACCAATTAAGCTAGTAAGTTAACATTCACGACGACTTCGCTTTGAAGTGAAAATCTGTACAAATATAGTCCTCAATGGAATGCCCATAGATGAAGAGAAATAAATGCTCTCTGTCCCACTGCATTTTTCCTGTGTCAGAGGAGGGAAAAAAATCCTTTAATTTTTGCCCTCTCCTCCTTGAGAGAGTTTTATAGGAGCATGTTCTTGCCCATTCTTGAAGCAGGGATCGAAACAGTGAACTTACATGTGTGTGAAATCGTGCCTGTGTACTGTGAAAGAAAACACTCTTATACTGAAACAAGATAAAACATGTTACAGTGGCTTTTAGGCTTCTGTACATGAAGAAATGTAGTGCTCACTTTGGATTTTGGAGAATGAACCAAATGTAGAAACTAATGGCTTGGTGACATGATATGATCATGGCCTTTGAATGTTCAGCTAGCTAGCTAGCTCTTGTGCTATAGTTTCCTTAATTCTGCCACTCAGTCACAATACGATGAATGAGCAAAGGAGGAATGATTCCTGTCGTCATTACATCATGAATACGAAAATGAACAGATAGCATTTCAACTCGTAGATGAAGCCTTCTTGTCCCGAACAGAATGTATCTATTGCTGAAGAATAGTATCGACACTCCTCAGTGTGATACAAATACGATTCTTGTTCCGGAGCGACAGTAGCGGCTAGTGGTACTATTCGAGATGTATCACAGTGCATGAAAAACAATCTATTCCTTCTTCGCATCTTGCACGTACACGTGAAGAAATTTTTTTAGTATTTTCTTGCAATTCTAGTTTCTGAGCTCAGTGCCACACTCAGTCAGTCTGAAGCACTACAAATTGGTGGCGATTCGTGAGAAGACTCAATCTTCTCTTCGCTTTCTGCTCTGCTCCTTCTGTTCAGCTCTTCCAAGAAGACACTTCGGTTCGTGTCTCTTGAGCACTCAGCAGCTCTTCATTCGAGCTCCCGCGGGTTGCAGAAGTAAGCTAGCAGAATGGCTGACGAGAAGATTCACATCAACATCGTGGTTATCGGCCATGTCGATTCAGGGAAGTCCACAACCACCGGTCACATGATTTACAAGCTGGGAGGAATCGACCAGAGTGTCATCGACCGTTTCGAGGAGGAGGCTACCGAGATGAACAAGCAGTCTTTCAAGTACGCGTGGGTGCTTGACAAGCTCAAGGCTGAGCGCGAGAGAGGTATCACTATCGACATCGCCTTGATGAAATTCGAGACATCCAAATACTCGTGCACTGTGATCGATGCTCCCGGCCACAGGGACTTCATCAAGAACATGATCACGGGAACATCTCAGGCCGATTGTGCTCTGCTCATGATCGACTCCACCACAGGAAGTTTTGAGGCTGGATTCTCGAAAGATGGCCAGACTCGGGAGCACGCTCTTTTGGCCTTCACTCTGGGAGTGAACCAAATGATCTGCTGCTGCAACAAGATGGACGCCACATCTCCACCTTACTCCCAGGAAAGGTACGAGGAGATCAAGCAGGAAGTGTCGGGTTACTTAGAACTGGTGGGATACAATCCAGAAAACATCCCGTTCGTCCCCATCTCAGGATTCCAAGGAGACAATATGATCGAGAAATCCGAGAATCTCGAATGGTACGAAGGGCCCACACTGCTGGAAGCTTTGGACAACTTGCGCGAGCCTGAGAGACCCACCGACAAGCCATTGAGGCTGCCCCTTCAGGACGTATACAAGATCGGAGGCATCGGAACTGTCCCCGTTGGTCGCGTCGAGACTGGTGTGATCAAGCCCGGTATGGTGGTGTCCTTCGCTCCGACTGGACTGACTGCCGAGGTGATGTCCGTGGAAATGCACCACCAAGCTCTGAATGAAGCATTGCCCGGTGACAACGTGGGATTCAGCGTCAAGGATGTATCAGCCAAAGAGTTGAAGCGGGGATTCGTGGCTTCGGACTCGGAGAACGATCCTGCAAGGGAAGCAGCGAGCTTCACGTCGCAGGTGATCATCATGAACCACCCGGGACAAATTGCCAATGGCTACGCACCGGTGCTGGACTGCCACACGTCTCACGTCGCTGTGAAGTTCGCAGAGCTGCAGTCGAAAATTGACCGCCACTCGGGAGAGGAGCTGGAGAAGGAGCCCAAGTTTTTGAAGAATGGAGAGGCGGGAATTGTGAAGATGATCCCCACCAAGCCCCTCACTGTGGAGACATTCGCAGAGTACCCTCCTCTGGGTCGTTTTGCAGTCCGGGACATGCGACAAACTGTGGCGGTGGGAGTGATCGTGGCAGTCGAAAAGAAGGACGCTTCCTGTGAAAAGTGAGGGAAGCAAGCAAGCAAGAACCAAATTTGTCACCGGGAACGTCGAATTGTATAGACAGCAACCTCGATCCTACATTTGGAAACAGAGGTGAGTGACGGAGATGGTCGTGCCCACATGGGTATCATGGATCGATTAGCCAGATTAGAAGAATCTGATTACAGATAGTACAGAAGGCAGGGATACAAATTCCTTGGAGGTCGTACCGTTTCATGCAAATTCAGTTCAATTACTTTGGTAGCCATCGCATTCAATCACATGAGTGACAAATCATTCGGAGGAGAGAAAAGGCCGGAACAGAGCAACCAAGAGAAAACATATTTCTCACGATCAGAGAGGACGAAGATAACTTTCTCAGAAGGAGCGAACGAGAGAATCGAAGGATCTAGGAGGAAAAGAGAGGAGGCAGGCCATTCAAATTCCAACATCCACTTGAGAGCCAGGATAGGAGATCGGACCGGTTAGAAAACAGGCTACTGTAGAGATTGCTGCCCAGAATAGCATGAGAGTGTCTGATATGGCTTGAATTCGGAACGACTTGCTGAGTGAAACTTGTAATAAAATCTCATTCTTATATCTTCTCATGTTCGATACAATTCTTATCTTGATTTGTGGCCACTACTTCACCAACTGCATACTTCAGCCCATATGTTTATGGAAATCGTTCACGGCAAATGGCTTCTTGTGTCCTTCCAGCCTTCATCTATCCACATCTTCCTTCATCTTAAGCTGTTCATAAATTCAGGTCAGGTTCACGTTTGGATACTGAGGCTTCTGATGGAGAAGGTGACTCCCCGAAGTCAAATCTGCTATATGCAGAAATTAGTTTTTTACAATGATTTCTGAGTAGACACGAATCGAGAGGCCTTGTATAGGAACATCAGCCCATTACTTCTAGCCGTATTATCAGTCATTCACTAGAAGTTGCAATTCCAGTAGAAACGGATGCAGGATTATGGTCGGATCAAGCCAAAACGCCATATGTTGGTTGCATCGCGGTATTCTTTCTTCGATGAAACCAAAAGATAGGCGAAGATGGTTAGAACTTAAGACGTTGGGTCACGATATTATAGAGGTTAATTGAGAGAAATTCTGTGGAGGATCCACCGCTTAGAAATACATCGGACAATTCATGGAGTTTATTTTAGTTAGTAAAATTTCAAGCATATGGTTGACAAGGATTCTTCGAATGTTGTGCTTCGTCAGAGCCATTTTACACATGACTCCCCGACCAGTATGGCCGACTTCCGTCTCTGTTCGAACAGAGACGAAAGAGGCAGGCTTATAACACTACGATCTAAAGGTTCTACGATATCAGCAAGGTAGAGGATGTCCAGTAGAAGTGTGGGGTCCAATAAAATCGTTCGAGTAGGCGTTTGAGTAGTTTCCTAGAGAGCTAAATCCATGGTTCACTGTGCTCAACCAAACGTGTGTGATATTCACCGTAAACTGATCGACTTTCAACGAATCGTCAGGGTTTTCACTCCTCTTCCATCCAGAAGGATCAGATTTTCGCGTCGCAGTGCGACTCCATCCGAAGTTAAACCCGTCTTTGTTCAGCAATAGGTTTGTCATCTCGCAGCTGTCATTTTCGCCTCCAGAAAAACCAGAATCGTTATTACGAGACGCGCTCAGAATCGAAGTATATCCGCTGAACCCAAGGAATTTGGCTGAGAAATTCTTTCCGTCAATTGGAGGATAATCAAGCCTCTAAGGATCACAAAAATCAGCGGGAAATAATCCTTCATCATTCCGTCTGAGGTCGAAATTTTGGTCATCTTCGTCAGCCTGGACGTGAATGCCGCAATTTACTGCCCGTCCGTCGAAGACCTGACTGCTATCATGTGCAGAACACTGCCTTCTGTACAAATTTTTCTATTGAAAAAATCTTTCAAACGTAACGGATCACACTACCTCACGACATCCTTCGTCATATTATATAATTGTAAGGAGCCGACAGATTCGTAAGAGCAGTTTCATTGAATGTGAAATAATGAGGAAGCTAGAATTGGTGAGTCTGAACAACACGCGACACGAAACTGTCAGTTGGACCCAGACGTGGACTCAAATTCAGAACTTTCAGAGTCCATATTCGTGTCTTAAGATAGGCGGCCACGTGAGTAGATGGCCATCTCGGAGCGGATGAAAGTCGTTGTATGGCTACAGCACATTCCCATGCTACCATAAATTCCGTTTCCGTTTCATCTCTGCATCCACATTCGAACTGAGAATTAAAGTCGAGAGTATTCTCTGATATGTCCAGAATTTCCTAATAAATGACAATCATGTCAAAAACGAAATAAGTTTAGATTCGCATTGACAGTTCCAGATAATTATGACGATCTAGACAAAAAACATTAGAGTTATTCAAGTGCACTAGAAGAGGATACATATTAATCTGAAATTATACGTCCACAGTCGCTCCAGCATTCTGGCAGGTAGGACGAGTCATGGTTTCCGGTCTCCAGATTATCGTGACCTAGATTCTCTGAACTGTTTGTCCAAACAAGTGTGATGCACATGCATAAGCACAGTCTAATTGTTCCTACAGAGTGGGAACCGGTCCATTGTCTAAGGAATCTGAGAAAAAACAACAATTATGGAGAAAACAGCAGGTCGAAAACGACCTACTTCGTCGCTACCGAGTGTCCAAGGAAGTGAATGGGCTGAGATCAATGTGACAAGGATTTGTCTTCCGCAACTACATGTATAACATCGAAGGCTTATACAGAGGCTGTAGATGCTACAATACGAGAAGAAGCCGGACTGGGAGTTGTATTGGCGCCCCTCTTGCCACTCGATGGATATCTTTATTCACATAAAGTAAGCATCCATTCCGTCATGACTAAACATGAACAAAACATGTCTAAGACGACATTAAAAGCAGGAAGCCATCCCGAAGCAAGAGCCGCGGTGCTCTTGAAGATGTCTCAGAATTTGTGACAACGACAAGATACTTCAGTCTTCGCATCTTGCACGTACGCATGAAGTAGTAAAATAACATTGTCAATTGGCCGCAATGCGACAGCCTACTTCGATGGAAGCTCATTCTGAAGCACTACAAATTGGCTCAGTTTTGTGAGGAAAATCAACCTTCTCATTCGCCTTCTGCCCTGCTCTCTTCTGTTCTGCTCTTGCAAGAAACCACTTTGCTGGTGTATCTTGAGACTTAGCAGCTCTTCAGCTGAGCCTGAGCATTTTCCAGAAGCAAGCTAGCAGAATGGCTTCCGAGAAGGTTCACATCAACATCGTGGTTATCGGCCATGTCGATTCAGGGAAGTCCACCACCACCGGTCACATGATTTACAAGCTGGGAGGAATCGACCAGAGTGTCATCGACCGTTTCGAGGAGGAGGCCACCGAGATGAACAAGCAGTCTTTCAAGTACGCGTGGGTGCTCGACAAGCTCAAGGCTGAGCGCGAGCGAGGTATCACCATCGACATCGCCTTGATGAAATTCGAGACCTCCAAATACTCGTGCACTGTGATCGATGCTCCCGGCCACAGGGACTTCATCAAGAACATGATCACGGGAACATCTCAGGCCGATTGTGCTCTGCTCATGATCGACTCCACCACAGGAGGTTTTGAGGCTGGTTTCTCCAAAGATGGCCAGACCAGAGAGCACGCTCTGTTGGCTTTCACTCTGGGAGTAGAGCAAATGATCTGCTGCTGCAACAAGATGGACGCCACGTCTCCACCTTACTCCCAGGAGAGATACGAGGAGATTAAGCAGGAAGTGTCGGGATACTTGGAAATGGTCGGATACAATCCAGAGAACATCCCGTTCGTCCCCATCTCGGGATTCCAGGGCGACAACATGATCGAGAAGTCTGAAAACCTCGAATGGTATGAGGGACCGACTCTTCTGGAGGCCCTGGACAACGTAACCGAGCCGAAGAGACCATCTGACAAGCCTCTGAGGCTGCCCCTTCAGGATGTATACAAGATCGGAGGCATCGGAACTGTCCCCGTTGGTCGTGTCGAGACTGGTGTGATCAAGCCTGGTATGATGGTGTGCTTTGCTCCTACCGGACTGACCGCCGAGGTCATGTCCGTGGAGATGCATCACGAAGCTTTGAGCGAAGCATTGCCCGGCGACAATGTGGGATTCAACGTGAAGGATGTATCAGCTAAAGAGTTGAAGCGTGGATTCGTGGCTTCGGACTCGGAGAACGACCCTGCGAGGGAGGCAGCGAGCTTCACGTCGCAGGTGATCATCATGAACCACCCGGGACAAATCGCCAATGGCTACGCACCGGTGCTCGACTGCCACACATCGCATGTTGCTGTGAAGTTCGCAGAGGTTCTGTCGAAAATCGACCGGCATTCGGGAGAGGAGCTGGAGCAAGAGCCCAAGTTTTTGAAGAGTGGAGAGGCCGGAATGGTGAAAATGATTCCTTCGAGGCCCTTGACGGTCGAGGCCTTTGCAGAATACCCACCTCTGGGTCGCTTCGCAGTTCGGGATAGTCGACAAACCGTGGCAGTCGGTGTCATCAAGGCAGTGGAGAAGAAGGACCCGGCCTGTGAAAAGTGAGCAAGTCAGCATGCTCGAGAAGCAAGAAGTGACCTGAACACGCGCATGAAAGTTTTGATGTGTACATGAGAGTTTCAAGATTCACTTCGGCAACTCCCTCTGTTGCGTGCAACAACCAAATTCCGCCTTTCAAGGAATGATCGGGAACAGAAGGGAGTGAAGGAATAGGTGCGGCCTTCAATCGGCACATGCCCTGTGAATAAAATTAGAAAGGGGTCGAATGGCCTCAGAGGGGGATCCGTTCCAATCATATTCAGTTCAGATTGATATCCAGTAGCCGTCGAGATGGAGTTCAACAGTTGAAACTTACAGGACTGGCAGTGAAGACCGGAGAAGAGAAGTTAAGGTGAGATACAACTCTCCTGGTTAGAGAAGGAGCAGACTTTCTCAGAAGAGCAGAATTGACAGACTTGATAGATGTAAAAGAGTGAGAGAAAGGAGGTGGGCAATCGATTCAACAATTGACTTAAGCCAGATTAGGAGATCCATCCGGAAGCGCAAGAGGTTAAATTTAAGAGTGCAGCACTGATTACCAGAACTGATTTGCTTGAAATCGGATCCTTCAAATTGAGGACTTGTAACAAGATCTTGATGATAAAATTATTATTTATATCTGATTCAGAGTACTTCAATCGTTAAGGAGTCTTTGTTGTTGATAGTTTGCTGGATCTAGATTGTCAGCTCAGATGTTCGTTGATGGCTGGACTACCACCTTAGTGCATTCAGACGCATAACATACGTTTTTGTTGCTTCTCGTTGCTTAAACCTGACAATACTGCAGAGTTGCTTTTTGAATTCTGCCTTTATGATGTTGGATGGAGTTTCAATCTATTCAGACATGTCAAATTCACCTTGATCGGCTCGTATCAAAACCTCCTGAAACTACTACCGAGCCGTAAGTACAACATCATACATACATGAGCCTGGAATCAATCGTTCTGTTCACCACCAATCCATACTGGAACAAAAGAATGTTCAGTGGAGGACTCTATACACTACCCGATGCATATTCAGTCAGAGTGATGATGGAAGTGGGATTGAAAAAGAAGTGAATGCAAACTTTGTTCGATCATATTAGATCCCAAAGTTCTGTGTTCCCTTTGTTACGGATTTGCGTGTACCCTGATACAGTGCTCATTATCTGTCGAGGTCATCTCTCCCTTTTTTTTCGAGAGACTACCGCGAGGTTTACAGAATAATCATATTAACGTGAAGGAATTGCTCAAGATTTGGTCTTGGATTCTGAGCTTTTCCAATGCTTCATTGCCTTCCAGTATCCTCGCTACACGAAGATAATGTCAGAATGGGCTATTTTTTATGGAAACACTCCCAACAAACACTGGAATGTCGAGCTATGTCTCTCTAAACTCTATAACTCCACTAAAAATTGCAGGACTAGTCATTATCCTCTTGAGATGGCAACTCTTGACCCTATTAGTGGCTAACAATAATTAAATAGGCCATGAACTGGAGAAAACTAAGAACCGACCAAGGTGAGTGAATCCTAAATCTTAAGAACGTCCGAAGCACTGTTATCTACACAGAAAAACCGCTTTCACTCTCTAATAAAAGATTGTGCATTCTCATCGTCTGCAATGCCAAATCACCCGATTTATTTGGTTTGGGTCTCCGTAGCTAGGCTCACCCATCTCCCTGTGGTGCGCATGTTTTTCTGGATATGGGAAAACCTGAACTCTTTCTTATAGACAACAAGTATTGACCTCATCCCTGTGGACAAAAGCCTCACTAAATTGAAAGCGAACATTGCGACCCTGGGTATCCGTCACAATATAATAGAGGTTTTATAAATCTTCTCAAAGAAAAATATTCTCTTGGGACTCTCCTGAGTTCAGTCTGTTAAACTTTTGCCAAACAACGTAAGCGTGTGTTCCGCAATTTCGCTGGGAAGGTGTTTAGCGACAAGACTGTCACATGTCCCAGGGCATCTTGTTGGCGGTGAGATCTTATCTCGGGTAATACTTACTTTTTTCGTTGACTCTCCAACCAGCTCCACGAATAGCAATCTCCAGATAGTTCTTTTACACACCCATGTTGGAAGATTTGGAGTCCAATGCAGTAATTCTGACAAATGCAAAAGGTTTACTACATGGTAGCTCATATTCTGAGCAATCTGAGCTCTTATCTAGGTTTCAGAGTCTAGTCTCAATGCAGATTTACCTACGGCAAACTCATTATTTCATCAGGACAAAGTTTGAAGGCTGCCCGCGAGAGTGCGACGATTGCATACGTAAACCATCTATGAACTCGAACACGAGCTATTGCTAGATTTTCCTCAGAAGGGCACAAACTTATCTGAACCGAATTTGATGAGAACACATCTTAAGTTTTGGGCTTCCGGCCAGTAGAGGGAAATTGAAACGACCTCGTCACGGGAGCACAGTACACATTGCTGATGGGATTAATCGAAGGCTGGGGTGAACTTTTCCTAGCAGCCGACCTCGTAACCTTTGACCCTTTCAGGATCGCCTTGATAACTCCGACTACCACAGGTTACGAATATCGCGGACATAAGATACGGCCCAAATGAGGGTACTCTGCAAGTGTCTCCAACATCATGGGGATGGTGGGAATCATCATCACAAGAACAGATTCTCCTTTCCAAGTGACAGTCGACCTTGGTCAGGATTTATGCAAGATTGACAGAAAGGTGGTACGTATAGCCATCTAGTACTGCTGCATGCCCTTTCCCTGTTTGACCCAGATGATTCATGTTGATCACATCGGAGGTAAAGTTGGCCGCCTCAATCGCCGAGTCGTTCTTCGAGGCTCAAGCTACGAACACACGTATCAAGTCCTTCACTGCCACCTTTTCCACATCGAATCTCATATCATCTCCCGGCAAAGCTTCCGTCAAATCGCCGTGATGCATTTCTACCAACTTCACCTCTGTCTTCTATCCGGTCGGAGCGAAGCACACCAGCATACCAGGGTTGATTACCCTGGTCTCGACACGACCCACTGACACTATTACGCAATGCCTTCAATCTCGTACACAGGGGCAGTAGCAGAGGCTTGTCGGATGGTCTCTCAGGCTCCGACACATCGCCCGAGGCCTATAGTTGAGTGAGCACATGGACCAGTCAAGATTCCTCAAGCACTTTGGTCCTCTACGAAGAGAAGTAGATCGAGTTAAGCCTACCAAAATCTGCGCCCGAAGTTTCGTTTGCCTTCTTGCAATGAAAAGCGTAAAAGATGAAAAACACGCACTGTACAGAACAAGAGTTTAAACTGACTCAACAATACATCTGTCAATATGCTTTAGAATAGAATGTCTTCTCGGAGAACTATGGTTGAGATAAATCAGAGCATCAAAAACTGGCCGTTTGCATCGATTATAGCCCGTGCTTGCAGGCTCCAATAAAAAGCCAAAGCTGGGTTGCCCAGATATCATGAATGATGACTAATTATCCGCCACGAATCGAGAAGCCTCTTCAACAGATTCTGCATCAGACATGATATTCGTCCGACACATTCCTGTAAAGAAGTTGTCGGTGAAGGCACGGAAATGATGTACAAGTTACAAGTGTGAAGCCTGTTAGACTTGTAAGTTGCTCACTGTGCATGAATGGTGTGAATGTTTAAATCTTTTCCTCATCGTGAAGACTATGTCTCCAACCGATGAAAACAGAGGGATCGATGAAAGGAAGGATTTTACGGATCGTCAATCAAATCCTCCTCTATGGATTTTGCAAGTTTAGTTTGTCGTAAGAAAATTGACTTGATGAAATTTGATTTGGTATCTTAAGCTGATTAAGCCGATAATACTCGTCGGACTTTGAATGATCTTTCAACTTCCCCGGTATCCCATCAGCGTAGGAAACTTCACTAGTACCTGCATTTTTCAATTCACAGTCAGGCTCATATTCTGAATGTTAATTGTAGTTCTACGTACAGAAATTCCTTGAAAACTTTGTCTCTGAGGACAAGGAAACGATTCCGAGTGACGGTTTCCACTGTAGAGATATTGTTGATTGCAAAGCATCCTTCTCCACGTGAATCTCAAAACTACAGAGTTTTCTTCGTTGAAACGCGAGGGCCACCACATGATATGTTCATGAACTGCTCTGGCGCTGTCACCATCTTTAAGCATGTGCCATCCTGCTCCTCAAAAAGGTTACAACCCATCACGATTTCCGCTTAGTTGGCGATCGGCATCCGATTCGGAAAATATTCGACTCAGTATTGAACAAATCGTTTCATTACGCTCTTCGCTGTAAGCGAAGAGCGTATTTTGGAAACCGCGTGACACATGCATTTATAGATCTCGTTCACATTACTAGCATGACACTATTATGAATTGACCTCTTCTTCGACATCTCCTATATTAAAAATCCCAGTCCATGTCTACTCACTAAGCAGAAATCGCGTAGCACATGGTTTTGGTCGATACCACGAATCAGTAATGAATTCCCTCTCAACATTATTAGTCTCATAGAGTTTCATAGACTCTAGTTGAAACCTACCCTGCTCCAGACGAATGTTTTGATATGATTGATTTATCTTCCCACGAGAGTGCTCCGCTACAGATTTTCGCATGTTGTGTTTTGTTCAATTATTCGTACGTGTAATAAACACGAAATGCAAAGCCCTTATTCGACTTCTCATAATATGATTATTAAATATTAAGAGTTCACGCCATTATCGGAATGCCTGTACTAAGACTAGAGCATTGTTGATATCGGGATGAATCCTTCTCGGTTATTTTTCTTCCAATTAAAGTTGACTGAATATCCCACGGCCCTTGGAACAGTACAAACTTATTTTGAAACATAGTCACTCGTTTAGGTGATTAGATCGTGTTGTCATTCCTTCGAACCAAAAATGGAAGAAAATTTGTCGGAAGTAAATGTTCGTTTTGCATAAGCAGATGCCGTGAACATACATGCTCATGCAAGAACGAATTTTTGGGGAGGAACCAAAAGTCTGAAGCCGAGAGCATTTGAAGGCATAGAACCTGAGGCGAACTCTGTCAGAGGCATGATTGACTAATGAAGAAGTGAAACATAAAATGTCAAGCCTTCTGCAAGCCTTCCATGCTATGATTTTTCTTGTTCATTATCATTTTAAGCTAATATTTATTCAGGTGTTGTGATTTCCAAGGGTCAACAGCGGTAGGCAAGTCTAAGCTACAGCTACAGGCCAGTGAATATGTCTGCTTTTCCTTTCCTTGCTTTAGAATGTTCGGGAGCTTTTTCATCTCGGCAAACTTCAGAATGTGATCTAGTGACACACATGTATCCGACGTCGTTACAGGCACCACTATCTAACCTGACGGCTCGTTGGAGCCTAGGCTGTTATAAGCAATCGTTCCTCTCAATGTCAGTATGGGATTAGGAAAAGTTCTGTCATCTTGACTAGCTGCGTTTGAGACTACAATCTGTATTCAACTGGATAAATCTATATAATATTCTCGACCCCGCTTCTCAAGGATCCTGTCTCTGACGATGGTTTATGTTGCATTCCACACAGATACTATTGAAATGGTGCAAGCTACGACATGATGCAATTCCCACGGCCACGAAAACACACGCCGAAGAGTCTGGTCCAGGGAGTCGGGGTAGTGGACCCCCAAGATCCAATCCCCAGAATCATTTCGGCGGTTAGGCCACTTCGTACCGACACTTCTCCAACTGTATATCATGGAATCGAAATAGATGACGTGCGGGCTCAAAAGAAGCTCAAACTAGGGCAGTGGTCTGAACCAATTTCGTACGCACTGAGAATCTGTTGGCTATAGATGCCGTGAAAGTTTAACAGTACAGATACGCTGGAAAGTTTCTTTCATCACTGTCACTGTCAAATGAATAGAACAAATGTTCCATCGAAGAATAAGCAGACAGCCACTGTAACTGTCGCATCTGGTTATCTAATCTTTCAGGTCATTCTCGCTGAGTTGATTGCACTTAATTGTTCATGAAGTAGCAACAATCCACGATTGAGTTATGGAGCGGTGCAAACTGGCAAATCAATTGGTGGAAGGTCAACGATAATCCGAATTCGGATATTAAACACATCTTAGAGGACAGAAAATAACGGAAAAAATGAACGTGAATATTGTAGCTTCATATCAAGACGCTAATACAAATCCTCTAGTCTCAAAGCTTCATACTAAAACCTTTATTGCCTCTACTCAACCATGCGAGGAGCTGCACCTCCTACAGTAGCGTCTTGCTTTGCCCCAGATTGATCGCCTAATCTGGCTGAGATACATTGCTTTTACACTGCAATCATTCCCGGCCCCTTCCTGTATGGCTCGTCTTTGAGAGACTGTCTGCTTCTCTGAGGTTATGCACCTCAGCGTGTTCGCTCTTCGGGTTCCTGTCTCTCTTATCTGGTCTGTGAACTGCAACTGGTGGATTGCAAGGGCTACTGATCATGACTGTGAATTTATGTCGAATGAAGTGGCATATGAAGACTCTAAATCACTGGCTACCGTATTTTACAAGTGACAATCTCATCTATCTGGCAAATTCAGATCTGCTGGAATCTCGTGGACTATAAGCCTGAGTTGGGGATGGCGGGTATTGAAAGCATTTCCGAATCGACCTCGAATTCGGATGTTCCGATGTCCTGATGTCAAAACTGTCGAAGTGCTGCTGCTCACTTCTTCTTGGCAGCTGCTTTCGTGACCTTGGCGCCTGAAGGTTCCTTCTTCTCAACCGCCTTGATAACTCCGACTGCGACAGTCTGCCTCATGTCACGGACGGCGAATCGACCAAGCGGTGGGTATTCCGCAAATGTCTCCACCGTCATGGGCTTGGTGGGAATCATTTTGACAAATCCTGCGTCTCCATTCTTCAGAAACTTGGGCTCTTTCTCGAGCTCCTTCCCAGAGCGACGGTCCACCTTGGTCATAATTTCAGCGAACTTCACAGCAATGTGGGAAGTGTGGCAGTCGAGAACTGGGGCGTATCCGTTTCCAATCTGTCCAGGATGGTTCATGATGATGACCTGGGACGTGAAATTGGCAGCCTCCTTCGCAGGATCATTCTTGGAGTCCGAAGCGACGAAACCTCGCTTCAGATCCTTCACTGCCACATTCTTCACGTTGAATCCGACGTTGTCCCCGGGCAAGGCCTCTAACAGAGCCTCGTGGTGCATTTCCACCGACTTGACCTCCGTGGTCAGTCCCGTCGGGGCGAAGCACACCAGCATACCAGGCTTGATCACCCCAGTCTCGACGCGACCCACGGGCACAGTTCCAATGCCTCCGATTTTGTACACATCCTGGAGAGGCAACCGCAATGGCTTGTCGGACGGCCTCTTGGGCTCCGTCACCGCGTCCAGAGCCTCGAGAAGAGTCGGGCCCTTGTACCATTCCAGGTTCGCGGATCTCTCGATCATGTTGTCACCCTCGAATCCAGAAATTGGCACGAAGGGGATCTTATCGGCATTGTATCCCACCTTCTTCAGGTAATTCGCCACCTCCTTTTTGATCTCCTCGTATCTGCCCTTCGAGTACTTGGGAGTGGTGGCGTCCATCTTGTTACAGCAGCAAATCATCTGCTTCACCCCTAAGGTGAAAGCCAGCAGCGCGTGCTCGCGAGTCTGCCCGTCCTTGGAGATTCCGGCCTCGAATCCACCGGTGGTCGAGTCGATGATGAGAACGGCGCAGTCGGCTTGCGACGTTCCTGTGATCATGTTCTTGATGAAATCTCTGTGTCCCGGGGCATCGATGACGGTGCAGTAGTACTTGGTGGTCTCGAACTTCCACAGGGCGATGTCGATAGTGATACCCCGCTCGCGCTCAGCCTTGAGCTTGTCGAGCACCCACGCGTACTTGAACGACCTCTTGTTCATCTCAGCTGCCTCCTTCTCGAAACGCTCGATCACTCGCTTGTCGATACCTCCCAGCTTGTAAATCAAATGACCCGTGGTGGTCGATTTTCCTGAGTCCACATGCCCGATGACCACGATGTTGATGTGAAACTTCTCCTTACCCATCTTGCTAGCTCACCAGTGCCTCTGGAAGAACTCAGACGGGCGATCGATCAGAGGACTGAGAGTCGACCAGAACTCGACTGAGAGGCTGGCTACTCGAGCGTCGGTACCAGAGGCGAAGACGATGGAATTGGTTGATTGTTTACAGGAAAGGGAGCCAATTTGTAGTTCTCGTCAATCAGTCTGAATCGGCGTGACTATCTGATTCCAGACATCAGATGGATTGACGGTGTTCAAACTTTTCATGCCGACGTGCAAGATGCTTCGTCGGAGGAAGGAGAACAATTTTGTCTTTGTCATCATTATCTGGAGAACTGTATCTTCCTGTTTAGCCGCACTATCGCTGTCGCAGCAGCATCTACCTCCAAGTGTCACCACAGAGGTTCATTCATCATATGTCTTCCAGGTACAGCAATCGAAGAGGGGGCGGACCAAGGAATATAGCCATCAACAAGGACTGAAATTGAGCTAGTATTTTACCAAGTCCTTCAGTTGGTAGCCGGAAATTCCATCTATCATAATTTAAGCCTTAACATAGGCACTCTGCCTCCTCCATGGAGTAGTTTATCTGCTTCTCCGAGGGTTTAGGTCATGAAGATCATGCTTCTAGCATCGTGAGCCCTCGCCGCTTGGACCGACCTTCGTTCAATGTCGGGGATCTTCCATTTTGGAACGGAATAAGTCTCTTCAATGAGTCCTTGAAGGCAGACAAAAAAAAATTCCCAACCGAGTTTCGATGGCGGGCATCAATGAGATTTTGCAGACGTGCTGAAACTCGAGCCTTCTGCTCATCTTCTGGCCTGGCGTTAGAAGACAGACAGAATGGAGTCAACACTTTTCAACTTCACTGGTCGTCATGTCCTCGCAAACTGCTGCCTGTTGTGTTCCATCATCATTTTAACAACACTGATGAGCCACAAAATTTCGGCTGCCACTCAATCAGCGTAAACCGAAGGGGACCCGGTATTATCTCGTAAGCATTCATATTCCCAATTTCAGTTTTGCAAATCTTCTATAACTGCCATAATCTACATATACATTCATCATTGTTCTATGATAGAATCAAGATTGCAAAATAAAAATTGTGGATCTAAATTTCATGCTTAAGGCATCAGCGCCCGAAAGCTGGCTCCGGTATTTTGTCATGCGTTTGCTAGTCCACATTGGCTGTCGAGCTCAAAAAGCTTACGAAGAACTGCTTGGACTTTAGTTGCTGAGATAACTCTGAGCTGAACGAAGGCTGACCACCTTCCGGCCTCACATGAAACTGAGTGAAATTCGTTCGCGGTGAGCCTGATCTAGTAAACGTGTCGTGTCTGAAGAAGGTTCGGCCACACGAAGTACGTCTTTGTACGGCATATCGGCAGTGGACAGTACACAATACGGTAGAATGTCCAAACCTTCAATGTTCTTAGTCGTGGCATACTGAGTGATTGCCACATGCTGGGATGATGTCCGGAATGTGGTCGGAGCTCCATGCTGTCCGGATCAAACCATGTCACTAGTTGGTGTTTACCAACTAGCTCGTAGCCAGTTAAAACATGGGGCCGCAGTAGTTATAGTATAGTAAAACAGTGTAATAAATAATTACATAAAATAATCTATGTATCTATGGAAAACAGTCGGAACAACAACAACGATATGGCCTCGTCGGAACAAGAATGGCCTCGTCGGATTTGGGCAAGAATGATTCTAATATAGATTATTGCTACATGTTAGGAAATGCAATTTATTCGCTAGATTAGCAGGACGTAATTTCACCTAACCGGCTTATAACGGGACATTAGAAGATGATTGGGACCAAAATGAGGCATGGATTTCGATTATGACAGTCTACATGACGTGGACAATGCAGATCATGTCATGTCTCATGTAACTTACATGAGACATGATGTAAGGAGCAATCACGGTTAATAAAACCTAAAAGGATGGGAAGCCATAGCTCAACAGATGGAGACTTGTAAAATTACCCATATATAGTCAAAAATAGAAAACGAATGGGAGAAACATTATTATTTAAAAGCAAATGAGAAACATTGCCTATCTTGGAGTTGACAAGCTAATGCATAATGAAGCTAAGCATTATTATGTGCCTATTTAGTAAGACCAGAACAGTGCGAGAGAATGAAGTCAAATACATCTCCTAAATTCGACTTTGCTAAGGGAGAAACATGACAACTGAAATGAAATCTCAACCACTAATTTAACAGAGACGATCTGTGTTGAGAAACAGCTGGGGCTTTTTCAAATGACAACTCTTGAGCAGTCCATTTATCGTACTCATTTTTGGTTATTCGTTCTCTGAGAAGTAGTGGCAGACTGGTTGCAAGATGGTGTTTTGTCTCAGACAAAATAGATAAAATGTGATACACTTTGTAGATTAAATACTGAATAAATCTATGTATAACGTATGTATGTATACGCATATAATATGTCACCTTGTAATTATCCTGAGTACAAAATACTGGTCTTTGAGTAGTTCAACATGATTGACGGTGTCTTATCCTTTATTTGTAAGTCTCAAACAATTTTGGTGACAAAAACTTCGGACTAGGAAGGAATTTAAAAATCAGAAGTGATTGAGAAGTTAAAGTTAATTGGACTGAGATGGTAATCTTCGGTCAGCTGATTGCAACCACAGCAGAATTGATGGATTAAAACATAATAATACTTGAGCAATTCATATGACTATGCGCCTGTTGATATTGAAATGAAACCCCCTTGAAGATAGCTTGTAGGTACACGAAGTTTTCGTAGTCTGTACATTTTGATACACAGTGCTACTACTATTTTGGAGAATGTAACTCCTCTCTAGAGGTCTGCAGTAAAACCGGATGTGAATCTTTATTAGGTTGTGATTGCAAGGTATTTGCACTAGGATAGTCATGCAAAATCTGATGGTAGAATTGGTGCTTGCTTTATAACGGGATATTAAGAACAGTTGAGCCATATGCGCTTAGATATCAAACGTTGGTACCAAAAAGGTCCATCATTGACAAATATGTGGTGAAAATTTAAACAAGTAATGTTCCAAAGCATAGAAAAGCAATGGAAAACTATAAGTCTTGGTCTTGATTATGAATTGTAAAAAATCAAGGTTTAAATTACAAGAGGGGAGAGATGCTGGAGTCTTAGGATCAAGGAGTTTCAACCTCAGGTTTAGCATCTCAAATTGAACATGTAACAAGAGCAGTTATCTGAATACGTGGAAGAAAACTATCACCAATCAGCACATATTACCAAACATATGGTAAAATGCATGTGCAACAACATACACAAACTAACGAACGTTGACTTGAGTATTAAAGGCGACGGTATAATGGGTGCACCGATTTAGCACTCATGAATAAAGTACTGGACAAAAACAGGCTCATATGAAGAGCCTAAACATTAGGATTATGTAGAGATGGGTGTTAAAAGTAAGGAATTCAACTGTTTTTTCTACAGCCTACTTTAATTTTAAATCCATTTGAACTAAGCAGATCAACAAGATGTGGTGCAATAACCATGATAAAATACAATGAACTTTTAAAATAAAATGCAAAGTTTGAGAGGTTCTCTGTTTTTACGAGTGGAAATCGAAGAATTTAGAATATTTATCTCTCGTGGAATAAATTGAAGTGATTGTGATTTGGGTGGTTCACCAAATGAACTAAATCAGACAAAGAGTGCTTAGTATGTAGATTGAAGAACATGCTACCTCAAGCACCCACCAGGTTGGTACAAACATTTAATGCATATCTGCTAAGCCAAGGATTGACAAGAAGAATGACATTTACAAGTTTAGATAATATTTTGCATAGCATGAAGTAGAATTCTGCCTCATGTTGGATATACATGATATTGGTACAATGAGAAAATTTATCATCGAGAGAGTAGAAAAGAATTATTATTTTTGATTATTGAGATAGAATGATTGAGGAGATGGCATGATCTCATTACCATCTGAGTTAATACCGGTGATATTCATTTTGGTAGATGAATATTACTTTCATCTACCACGTTAGAAATTAAAGGTTAGAAACTGGAACTTGTGAAGCGTTATGACTTACTCAATTGATGGATGAGCTGGGTAAAGAAAAGGCTTGATAGTTTCCGAAAATTTGATATCGTTGAAAATTTTCAATCAGGAGAACACCAAAAAAAAAGTTAAAAAATATGAATGATAGACCGTCAATCATATGGGAGTCGCATGCTTGAGTTTGAATTGAACCTAGAAAACCAACAATAGAATCTTTCGAACACATAAGGAGCTAAAATATACTTAGAGTTAATATATATCTAGTTGATATATATTTATCATAATATGCTATCTATACTTATTTCTCGTCAAGTCGCATTTATATGATTGAACATTGAACTCAAACGATGACATTGTTAGACATTTGATAATTCCTGCCGAACAACATAATTCCTGAAGAGACAGTCGGCTTAAATCTTTATATAAACATTGAGTTTCAGTAGTTTCAATTCATGAAATATTTTTTCGAATCCCGTTTGGAGTTCAAAACCGTTTTCGTGGATCGAACTAAAATTAAATAGTGTTTCTGATAGGGTGCCTGAAGATTAATGTGTCTGAACATGAAAGTAGTTCATTCCCTACAGTGTTCTCGATAAGTTTTCGGTATGTGACTTGAAGTGTACAATTGAGCCAAAGAATCTCATACACGACTATGGTCGATTGGGAAACTCCACCATGGTCTCTATTTATGTATGAAAGGCATAACTATCGTCCATATGAGAAAAGGGAGAAAGCTTTAAAATGGTCAGAGGTCATTTATTTCGATTTTTTTCTTTGTGTACTTATAGGCATTCCAACAACATTGGATACATGTGTTCTATTTTACATCTAAACAGTACACAACTAATTCATGAGATTCTATTTGATCCCAAGACTGCATCTGCAAGACGCCAAATAGACTGCATCTGCATGGTAACCCGAAGGACATTGGGAGAGAGAAAACGAACACATATGTGATTGATAGATTGGTTATCGCCAAGAATTTATTACATGTGGTCTATGCCAAAGCTCCATTTGAAGCAAATCCAGCTCAACTAATCAATGGTTCATATTCTAAAGTAACCCCTTCTTCTGTTCATTCCCGGTTTAATCTCCTATTCCACAGATCAATATAATCCGCGCTTCCCTTTTTCTTCGAGATCTGTCATGTAAATTGTTCTCGTGTCCTCTTCCTGAGACTGTGTTCTGTCCTTTCGCTTACAATCAGAATAATGTCTCAACCTGAATGCTCTTTCCCGGTCTTTCTGAACTTCCTGTAATATGAATCTGCTGAAGTCCTGCAATGGTTACTAAGTGTACTTTACACTGGATCTGCTTGAAATGGGATGCCTTCCGAAGGCTTTGATCTCAGACTGAAATATACCAAAGTTCGAGTGAAAACGCCCATGCTTGCTCTCCACATCCGTCTGCTTTCAGATGATGATCTCATTTGAGATTGTGATCTACGAAAGCGAGCAGAAATGGACGATAAGTTAGAAGCGAGGAGGTTGCACACCTCCGATGCTCAGCCTTCACTATCTACTCCAGCTCCTTATTTCTTGGCCTCTCCTTCCTCGAATCCTACCTCAACTGCTGAATGCCTCTTTCTTCTCGACAGACTTGATGACTCCCACTGCCACAGTCTGTCTCATATCTCGGACCGCGAACCGACCCAGAGGTGGATACTCTGAGAATGCCTCTACTGTCAAAGGTCTGGTGGGTATCATCTTCACAATCCCCGAGTCTCCATTCTTCAGAAACTTGGGCTCCTGCTCCAGCTCATCTCCCGAATGGCGGTCGATTTTCGACTGCAGCTCTGCGAACTTCACAGCGACGTGAGACGTGTGGCAGTCCAGCACCGGTGCGTAGCCATTGGCAATTTGACCCGGGTGGTTCATGATGATGACCTGCGAAATGAAACTAGCTGTCTCCCTCGCAGGGTCGTTCTCCGAGTCCGAAGCCACGTATCCACGCTTCAACTCTTTAGCTGATGCATTCTCGACGTGAAATCCCACATTGTCACCGGGCAATGCTTCACTCAGAGCTTGGTGGTGCATCTCCACGGACAACACCTCGGCGGTCACTCCGGTGGGAGCGAAGCACACCACCATACCGGGCTTGATTACTCCGGTTTCAACTCGTCCCACGGGCACGGTTCCAATGCCTCCGATCGTGTACACGTCCTGAAGGGGCAGCCTCAGAGGCTTGTCGGAGGGTCTCTCCGGCTCGCGCAAGTTGTCCAACGCTTCCAGCAGTGTGGGCCCTTCGAACCATTCTAGATTCTCGGATTTCTCGATCAGGTTGTCTCCTTGGAATCCTGAGATTGGGACGAACGGGATGTTTTCTGGATTGTATCCCACCATTTCTAAGTAACCCGACACTTCCTGCTTGATCTCCTCGTACCTTTCCTGGGAGTAAGGTGGAGACGTGGCGTCCATCTTGTTGCAGCAGCAGATCATTTGGTTCACTCCCAAAGTGAAGGCCAACAGAGCGTGCTCCCGAGTCTGGCCATCTTTGGAGAATCCAGCCTCAAAACTTCCTGTGGTGGAGTCGATCATGAGCAGAGCACAATCGGCCTGAGATGTTCCTGTGATCATGTTCTTGATGAAGTCCCTGTGGCCGGGAGCATCGATCACGGTGCAGGAGTATTTGCTGGTCTCGAACTTCATCAAGGCGATGTCGATGGTGATACCTCGCTCGCGCTCAGCCTTGAGCTTGTCAAGCACCCACGCGTACTTGAAGGACTGCTTGCTCATCTCTGTGGCCTCCTCCTCTAGACGCTCGATCACACTCTCATCGATTCCTCCAAGTTTATAAATCATGTGACCGGTGGTGGTGGACTTCCCTGAATCGACATGGCCGATAACTACAATGTTGATGTGAATCTTCTCGTCAGCCATTCTGCGCAGATACTTCTGAAGAAAGCCTGAACTCAAACTGGAAGCTAGAAGCTCCTTGGTGTTCGACAGGCAAAGGCTGAAATGATCTTTGGCAGAGCTGGATGTTGGCAGGCGAGTACAGAGCAGATGGCAATAGAGAAGACTGAGTTTCTTGACAAAGAGCAGTCGAATTTGTAGTGTCTCAGACTGACTATGCAGTGGACAAAGCTCTTGCACTGTAGATACAACGAATTAGAAAATCATTTTCCTCATCTGTACGTGCACGATGCATGAGAAAATTTAAAAAGCTCATCTGTCATGCATACTGATATATGGAACATCGCACGGCCGCTGTAGCCTGTAGCTCCGACAGCCTTCAGAGTTTTCTTATAGGAACCTTTATATTCGCTGTTTTCTAGGAGTATCATGCGCCGCCCTTGACTCATTATTCAAATTTGTTCTTCCTGGAAAATCGTAGGCTACGATTTTCCAGCCTTCCTGATGCTACGATTCAGTGCATCAGGAAGGCTGCAAATGTCAGGACTTGCTATATAGGCCATTCCTGTTTTCACATTCATTCTCTAATGTACGTGTAATACATGTAGTTTTTCATGTTATCGTTCATCAGTAATGAAATCATGATAAGATTCCCTACAGCTATATTCCGAAATGAGGACACTCCATGTGACCAACCCACTGCATTTCTATGTTCATCTTTGACCCGTAATTCAATTCCATATGCATGTTCACATGTGAAATATGCTAAAAGTAGGAAGGTGATGTCTAATGACAACGTCACGATGGACTTGGTACCAAAATAATGTCATACTGTTATCGAATCTGATTTTATTATAATGGTAGAGAACACATTCCTCCACCGCGAGAAAGTTATATATTCATGTTAAGATTCTAAAACTGAAGCCTTGTCGAAGTTTACATTTGAGAAAAAGCGAATGTGTGCGACATGTGCTGCAACAAGGAAAACAGTCTAACGCATCCCAGCTTCCCAAACATTCAACTAATTGTTGTTTATGATGTTGTAACTCCCTAGAGAGTTTTCTGCGTCCTCTTCTCCTTTCACACGCACACGGATATACTAGAAATTGGGTAAAAGTCTGACTGTGGCATTGGGCCAACCGCGCAGCAAGGGTAATCGTAATATTTCAAAGAAAAACTTATGGATAGAGAACTCTGGAACTGCTCCAATAGCGTTCAACGAGTCGAAAGCAGTTTCGAGTAATGAATCTGCGAAGCTGTGGAACGCTGCAACACGATAGAACATAGTCTATACCATCTCCCAATCTGCAAAGCATCGTGTCATAGCAGTTTCTATTTGTTATCATGTTAGTTTCTGGTTAGTATTCTAAAAAAATGGAAAAAATACAAATGGAAGTTAGTGTGCACAAATCCATAGAAATTACACTATTTACTGCAAACGCTTGAAGTGATAGATAATCTGTTTCCAAAGTAAGAGTCGCGGAAATGAGTTTATGACATTGCCTGCATGTAAATTATTCGTGGGTATATCTTAATGGTTTTATATTCCACTTGCCTATCTTAGTAACCCTTGATTCCACGTGTGGGACAGAAGAACTTTTCCTATTACTTTTACTATTCCGAGGCATGCTTCCTGTGACGGCATTATTACCTCCTGATACATCTGTATCAGATGGCAAATCACATTGATAGAATTGTCTTAATGAGTGACAGGGGTCTCAAGAAAATATGTATTCTTAGGACATCTTCTTGAACATCAAATTCATTCTTATCATGTATGCTAGAGGAAGATAATAGAGTACTCTTCATCTTACGGACTAGCCTGCTCTAGTAGACTGAACCGTGAACAATGTATAGAATTGCTTCTTTCTGAATAGATGTTCAGCTGCGAGTAATATCATATTAGTTGCCTGAGTTAGGGTACAAGTTTACTGCTGCATTCTGCAAGGGAATATAGCTTTTTAAGTTTACGCCGCATGATATTCATGAAGGAAGTGTCTTCTTGCGCGTAGTAAGCCCATTTCCTGGCCTTACTACTCTGTAAAGCCAAAGAAGCAGTACTGTACGTGCTACCCTGCCAATATCGTGTGCGGAGCTGCCATAGTTGCAACATATGAATATATTCCATCTTCATTGTCTCTGGATCAGAGATGCACAGTGAGAGATCCAGATGCAGAGTAGATTTTGGCACGTCTTCACATCCATCCAAGTAGGTTCCACCAATAATTTTGAACTGTCGATCACTTGGAAACAAATTGAAAACCATGATACTAAGTCATGAGCACTCTTACTTGCCGTAAGAGTTGCTGAAGATTGCAAGCATTCAGTTCATCTAATCATGAGATATGGAATGAAATATTGCTTCCTTATTGTATATTAACCTTCACTTACATGCGCTGGCATTACACCGATCGGAATCTCGGTATACTTATTGTTCTTCTTTGTCCCTTCGGAAAATAAATCTCTACTAGGTAACTTAAGTCACTAGCCTAATTCAGGTAACGTAAAATTGTTGATGATCATCTCATCATTTTGCAATCAGTGGGTAAAATCTGCACTAAGTAGAGCCTTAATCCTTGGTAGAAGTGCAGCAAAATAACTTCCGTATCCCTGATTAGTCTTCTTGGAAACGTTGAAGAGCCGTGGAATACAAGAAGAGAAAATAGGAGAAACTTAATTCTAGTCTGTGATCTGGGTCAAGAACATTGATTTATTACAGTCTGCGAATATGTGCTTTGAATTTTAGGGTGGAAGGTGAACGCAAGCACTTTTGTTCATTTGATCACTGGTTTTCAATGTGGGGGATTCAACTTGACACATTGGATTCAACACACTAGGAATTCATAATCCATACAAAATTTCACCTCTTTCGGGAGAATGTCTTAATCAACGGCTTAGTCGAAGTGAGCATCGGCGGAATGCAAAATGAATCGCATATACGGGGCTCTGGTGTTACAGCATGTCACTTGAAGTTGTTTGTGTTCACAAGGGAACCTGTGGTATACTTGGAGGAGACGGTCGGGATCGGGGGATTCGACTGACTGACATCTAACTATTATTTGAGACCTAGAGGAGGCCTATTTGACACCTAATCGGCTTTCTGCTCCAGAGTGAACCTCTCATTCACTGATGAATTAAAGTAGAAGCTCTGCAACTTCCCGTCATCGCGGTTCTAACAGACCGAATTCTACGCCATAACAGCTTGCCCTGTGATACTTCCTCTTCTGTTTGATCGAATAACAGCCTTCCAATTCCTGGTGCTATTGATTTGAACGTTTCTAAAAAACTCACTTGGGTGGGCTTCTGCTGCGATGCCCTCTGTTCGATCCAGTAAATTTATTCTACCTGTATCGTGGTGTAATTTCTCCGTTTGCAGTTTCTCCTCGTTTAATGTGAGTAACAACCTTCTCACTACCTTCCGTTTCTATCGTTTCCCAGTAACTGAGCTGTTGTCACTTCGACATAGCCATGGTGATGTTACCGTCATATCCAGTAACCATCTCTACTTCACACTTTTGAAAATTAACTCTCTTCGAGGACCGAGTTCTAGGTTTTGCCTTGCATTGGGCCTCGTCTCCAGCGAAGGCGGTAGGACGAAGAAATATCTACCGGTCAGGTATCAGGATTCCAGTTAGTTTGCGACAGGGCTGTCTATTAGTAAGGCATGCTGATTGTTTTGGTTGGTGGTGCCCCAATGAAGGAGCGTTCCAAAAATGTGTATAAGCCGATGTTGTGTCCCGCACACGGTATTCTTTAGTAAAAGGCGAAAGAATAGTTCGCTCTGGGCTGAACACACGGCTGACTGGTTTCCTAGTCTGCGGTTTATCAATATAGGGCGAAAAAAGGATATCTTTCTGTACATACCGTATGGGTTTATGGGTGCCTTCCAGCATGGGTGAGAGCTTAGAGTGAAGTCAAGACTTAGGGAAGGTCAGGTGGCATTCATATCGCACCTTGTGGTGTGACGATGGGATCGGTAGGATTCATCAGAAACTTCCAAGAAATTCTTATTTCTTCCTTTCACAACTGCTAGCTGCGCATTTCGAAAATACGAATGCGTTAACCATTATGTCGCAGTCAAAAGTTGGAAAACTGCAACATAATGGTTAATGGAGATAAGGAGGAGACGAAAGTTTCCCAAGCATGGACCCATTAACATTTAAACATACCAAATTCTCCTCTAGACTATGAAGATGATGGCGGTGCTCAGCTTGCTCGTGGTCCAGCTGTTTTGTCATGGTGAAGAGGTTCATAAGTTGACGCTGCGAAGTGGAGTATGTAAGTTTATCAGAATACTCAGTGCTTCATCTCCAGTCATTGTGTAGATAGCGAAGGAAGCCAAAATTAGCAGTGTAGCAAAAATTATGTAAAAATACAATCAGTTCCCGGGATGAACTGAAGGTAGTAAGAGGTGACTAGCCCGCAATAGTATGACAGAAAGAAATATACACTCTTGCGTATAAAAATTTGACGTTTTTTGATAAAATAAAATTGCGGTGCATTAGCACGAGAAAGGAAAAGACATATACACATGTTCTATATATCTATTGAATATGCTAAATACATTGATTTATATGAAAAATGGTAAAACCTGTCATTGTAATGTATATAATATGCCACGGTCCCCTATGCGATGCTTCCCCAGTACTTTTACTGATTATTCCATACAATTGTCTAACAATACTTTTCACTTGGGTATCAGCTCTTAATTGATTTCTTCTATATAACCGGTTAATGGCTTCCAGCAAAAATAATGCATCCGGAATTGCAAGAGAAAAAATGTTTAATATTATATTGGGTATCTATATCAATGGTCGAATTGTAAGGTCTGGCGGAAAGCCCAACGATGCCACCGCACCAACAACAAAACGCGAAAGCTCATTCACTTGCTACCATTGGTTTCTGATGGAGGTCAAACCGACCAATGCTACCGCTCAGTTTGGGAGCGATGGTTCAGTCCGTGATGAGCACCCTCACCGTAAGCCTCCATTGTAAGAGCAGCTAAGTTGTTTCCACCACGAAATTTGTCCGTCCTCGGAGCGAATTCTGTGAGGACGGAAATATGGTTCGTGTTAACTAGCACTGCAATAAAACTGCAGACTTAGATCTGCAATGATGGTGGCAGAACCCGAGACAGCAATCTGGGCAGATTTTGACTTTGCACCGTGAAGAATGTCCTTCAACTAAACGCTTTCCCTCTCTCAACTTTCTACTGAAGGGGAATCGTAGATTTGGATATTACCCTGGTAAGTTACGAGTGTGATCCGTCGTCCGCCAAGTGTCCAAATTGTACACAGACCAGACAGTTTACATCCTGGGCATCAGGATTTTGGAAGTCTGATGCTCGAAGCAATGGCCGTGGCGGTAGTGAATTAGATCGCAGTCACATTCCGTGAGTCCACTGATGCAGGTACTCCTCATTCGAAGGTCGTGTGGAACGGGTATTGTAGACCAGATCGGCTTTCAAAGTGCTCTGTCATTATCAATTTGCCGCATTGCGCTTCCTTGTCGCCGTTTCTCTGCACTTGCTGTCTTCGTCGAGGGGGTAGCCCTACGTTTCCTTCCACCATCGCATTCAAGGTATTACTCTAGCTGGGGTCACTGTCGCATGAATATGGCCGTCTTGGAGCACATCTGGACATTGCTCACTCGAATCCTTCTTTGTTTGCTTATCTGTACTTAGCTTGTAATTTCTCGCTGTGAAATGTCTTGCAGGATCCCACATAGTGACAGACGCCCGCTTCGAAAGTATCTCTTCCAGGAAGTGGGGATTCAATTGTATCAGTCAGATCATGATTTCATGAAACTCGCGTCCGTAAATTCTGAGCTCACTGCAGCCGATTACTCCTTATTCCTAGAGCTGGTGCAGAAGGAGTAAAGTGGAATAGACTGGTCCTCATGTCTTCAACCATGGCTGCTGCCTCTCCTAGCGTTCTCATCCCCCCAAGTTCTATCTTCCGAAAAGGGACCGGAGGCAATGTCGACAGAAGAAATTATAGCAATTCTGCAGTGAGCTTGAAGTGTAGAGCGCATCAGGACAGTGAATCCAATGACTTGAGTGTGAAAGTCTCGCGAAGATGGGCAGCGCTTGTGCTTCCGGTTTCGACCGCACTGGGAGGAGTCGTGGCATCTCCTAGAAACTCGCTCTCTGCTGAAGAACAGATGCAATGCGCGGATGGCAATTGCGGGAAGGTGGTCCTTCGTACTTTGAGTGGTTGTGGGTTGGGAGTAGCGCGGTATCCTGACTTCGTGTACAACGCAGACGGAGGTGGGGGCAGCGGAGAGTCTCAGGAGCTTGCTGATGGCCGCACCTTCGTGCGCTTTGATCCTGACCAGCTGAAGATTCCGCCCGTGAGCATGCTCACCACCACGTTGTTGGGATTGCCTTTGCCACCCTTTCTGAAAATTGAGATCGTGCCCCAGAATCTGGAGGGTTACCTGGAAAGGAGCACCGGGAAGGTCAGTTACTTTTTTCCAACCGGTCGTATACTACTCGATAGAGAATCTGTATGCTATTCAAATTGCTCAACGATATGGTTCGGATGGGTTAGGATTATGGTCGATTTTTTGGTCGTTTTACTTCCAGGTCTTCAGGATTATTTACTTCAATCTGGGACGTGTCCAGCGTTCACCTTGTATGATAATTTTTATTAGCGATCCTACTGTAAATTCCTTGTAGCACAAATCTTGCAGAGGTTCGATATTCTCCAATCTACAGAGATACAAATTTACGTACCGAGGGACTCATTCCATACACCTTCTGGTTGATGATTGCAGGTGGAGCTCAAATTCCTCGCCAAGTTTTATTTCACCGTTGGCACACTATATAGGGCACCTCCTCTAGTAGTGAATACTGTACTCACTACAGAGGCAGTACAAGGTGCTCTCAGGGGTGGGAAAGGCAAGAGACTGGACTCTTCCGGCAACTGTAAACTTGTTGGGGTGGCTTTAGTAGACCCTGTTGATGACTTATTCATGAACACATTCTTGACTCTACCCACAGACTGTTTGGCCGAAATGGCAGCAAAAATAACATTCATTTGATACCAGAGAAAAATTCAATCCTCCTAGACGTATTTTCGTAACACAAGTATCCACTCTGCAGTAAAAACAAGTGCGCAGTTGCCACGAAAAGAAAAAATTTGGACGTGGCCCATGTAGGCATTTCATGTATCCTCCCCTTCAGATTTTCTTAAAATTGGTGACTAGCAACGGTAGCTTCAATGGCCTCAAATCTACAACACCTGATTATCTCTTTTCGAAAGAAATCTCTCGTAGAGATAATACTAGGCAAATCGTTGCGAGTTGTTAATAATTGAAAAAGTACATACAAGCAGAGTGTTTCTTGTGTAAATGAAACCTCTTAGGACCCCTGTTTCTGATAAAGGGAAGTTTCTATGTGACCGAAGACGAGCAAACCGTCATTTCGGTGCATAACATGCAAGAATCCTGGATATTTTACTGGCAGCCATCTCAGAAGTCGATCAGCTGCACACAACACGAAATAGTGTTAAAATAAATGCGGACGAATAACACATGATTTCTCAACCGAGCTAACAGAAGTAGATTCAAGTCATCCAGACAGGCAATTATGCCAAGCATGATCAGTAGAAACGACATGAACTCCAGATAATCTAGTGTTACAGAAGTGATCGGCAGAACTGCGAGATCGTGTAATACATCCCCAATGCAAGTTGGCAAAGCATGATCATGAAACAAAAGCAGGCGGGAAATCCCCTAGCACAGGAAGGGACCCGAAATCATATCTGCGTTGAAAAGAAGCTTACTTGTTCATGCCCTTGTTCGTATATAGTCGCCAAGAGACTGACAGCCACCTGCTTCGAGCTAACTGCAAGATAGATGCACTTCAGTAAATATATCCCTGATAATTGCTACGAAAACAGAAGTGGGAGCCAAAGTGAATCACTCAACACACTTCATGACATGACAAAAAGATTTCCACCAAACCAGTTTGGGACGGAAGATATTTTGTTGATAATATTAGCAACCACTTCTCGGGCGTAACTTTAAAATATCAGATAGATTTTCTCCATTTTGGATTCACGAGATAAACAAGAATATACTGCTTTGAGCCATAACGTGCCTACATCTTCAAATAATCTGGGTTCAGAGAAAGATGAAGGTGCTCAAATTCAAGAGAATGTCCTCACTATTCTTGTGTGAAAATATTCAGCTTAATTCGCCTATTCTTTACAGGTGCTTACTGCGAAGAGAGGAACCATGCCTGGCCGCGGGGGAAATCCAGCGGCAAGACTAATCAACTGCTTCCTGTTAGTTTTATTAAGCTTGCCCGATTTTTGAACTACTCTTATAGATATGTCATTCTTCCATACTCATGAATTCCATGATAGAGAGGTGTTCAAAAGCTTGTTCTTGCGTTAAACGAATCGGAGATGAGACAAAGCACCAAAAATAAGAAATCATTGGCACCTGATAAAACTTTTGAGCTGTGACATATAGAATCGCAAGAGGTGAAATGCAAATCTCACGCTTGCTATGCCAGCTTGAAGTTCGAACCATTATAATTAGAGCATTAGTTAGCTTAGCGGAGTGAGAGTTGAGACGTACCTCTTAGAAGCCATCCCGAAATAAGAACGGCATCGCTTTCTGAATCTTCGTCAATTCATGACTTGACTATCCTGGTCCACATCCAAACTCTTCAAACCTCGATCCTCTCTCTTTCCCTTAGCTGCATCCGTGCTCCTAGATGTTCCTTGTATGGATAAAGGGTTCCTCAAGACCGGGCGATTCGATCCTGCAGTAGATCCTCCTGGCTAAATCCTTCTGTTGTTCTCTACACAATCCGTCTGCCTTGTTTCCTCCAGAAACCAGCTGCTGCAGGGCATCCTTAAAAATCCCACTTGGTTTTCCAGAGACCTGGTAACGCCACTCTGAATTATCCATATGTGGTAGAGTACATTATCCTCAGTTGGACATCCCTCGACCGCAACGGAGCACCTTGATCATTATTGTGATTCCGAGATCATCAGCTATCGTCCCGAAGACCTCTAATTCGATGGTAAGAATTCGTCTGTACAGTGCATTTTAGGCTAGAATAATTGTGAACTTCCGGAGGAGTTCTGCAGATGGCACTCATCTGCGAGAGCCAATGATAGCATCTCTGCAGTGAAGGAGTCATCTGGCTTCAATCCCAAGGCCTTGTGATAGAAGTCGATGGCAACAGAGCTGTTTCCTTGTAAATGGTGAGTGAAACCCAGAGCTGCGTATGTGCTAGCTCCTCTTGGATACAGTGCAAGAGCCTTCTCGTATTCCGAGATAGCTTTGGCATACATCTTCAGTTTCCTCAAGGTGTGTGCGAAGTTGACAACTGTGGGCTCCCACGAGTCGGTTAAAGGTTTGGGCGCCAAGTTGAGTGCTTTATCGAACCAGTCCGCGGCAATTTTGAATTCCTTGTTCCGATAGGCCATTACACCGAGCTCGTTGAAAACCAAGGGATCGTCAGGACAAATCGATTTTGCTTGAAGGAGAAATTGTTCCGCGAGATTCAGGTTATTGGTACGAAGATACTCCATTCCTATGCACAGATTGGGAAGGTGGCATCCTGCAAAAAGACGAGCTGCTGTTCTGTACGCAGCCATTGCCTGGTCGCTTTCGTCCTGAGCTGCGTATGCATTTCCAAACCCTAGCCAAGCCGGAGCAAAAGAGTACTCCATTGCCGTAGCTTTACAGAAGTAACGTCGAGCGTGATCGTATTGCCGAATACAATAGTAGTAGCATCCAACTGCAAACCAAGCAATGGCCTTGGTCGGGTACTCCTGCACCAAGCTGTGAGCTCTCAAAAACAGCTCGTTCTTACGGCCTAATTCCAACGCCGCGCCTAAGTGCAGAGGCATACATCTAAGATGGTAAGGATCCTTTTCTAATAAGGCTTTCGTGCTCTCGTAACACCTCTGGAAGTCACCCCTGTGGTACTCCAAATCCGCTCTACAGGCCATGACATCAGTGTTGTCTTTCAACGAGCAGATTGCCCGACTTTCATCATCGCTCTGAGGCTCTTCCAGCTCTTGCTCGAGCTCAGCGATCTTCATGTCGATCTTCGCGCCTTGGCCGTACTTGTTAGCTCGGCACGAATAAAGCAAAGACAGCCACCGATCTTCGGGATCGAATTTCAGAGATGTCAGCAGTTTCGATTCCTGTTCGTTCGTCAACATATGATTGTCGACCAAGTGCTCGAATGCTTCATAACAAAATGGATCCGCCTTCAGAGCAGCCTTGTACCAACACAGCGCCCGCGCTCTGTTCTCCAGCGCCTCAAATGCTCGCCCGCGCAGGAGGCACATGGCAGAAGAGATGTGGATTTCGCGCTCCTCGACATCTTTGCTTTCAGACAGGTCCACCCCCTGCTCTTCCGCCATCTCCACATTCCCGTCCTCATCCACATCCCCTTCCCCTAACATGACCAGACATTCCTCCCAATCCTTGACCTCGGCCAGGCACTTGGCGGCCAAATACCTAAACCGCAAATCCGCAGACACCAGATGAAATCGTCGCAGCAGGTGCAGAGCACGCCGAAATTCCTTCCCCAAGTACAGAGCCTGCGCCTGCATGTACAAATCCTGAGGCGTATTGCCCGCCATGGTGGCCAATTTGTCCGCGAAAAAAATGGCCGACGAGTACAAGTGCTTGCCCAGGCAATCCCGCACGACGGATCGCAGCTTCTCCATATCCATCTCCCTCATCGCCAGCACGCCTCCGGCCTCCGCAGCAGCGTCGTCGCCGATGCTCCTCTTCCTCTTGCGCTCGGCAATCCAACTCTCCTCATCCCGTCCCATGACTCGCTCTCCTCGTTCTTAATTTGCAATCTCCTCTTCCCGCTCTTCCTGCCCCAATCCGCCCTCCTCCGTCCGATACTCCCCGCCCATCGATCCCGTACGTCCCCCGAGAATCTTCTCCAGATTCGCCGCCAGGCCCACCCTCCGCTGGCTTTAAGCCTTCTCCTCGTCGAGCTCTCGGGTCCAGATCGCGCTTATGACCCGAAGCCGAGCTTGCCATCAGATAGCGCGACGATGTTGAAGAGGAAGCCGACGAGGCTCGAGTTCAAGGAGGCCGATGACAAGGAGGATCTAGAGCAAGCACGGAAGAGCGCATCTGCTGCCGCCGCTGCTGCTGCTGCGGCTTCGTCTGCAGGTGCTGCTGCCGTTGGTGGCTCTGCTTCTGCTACCCCGCAAGTCATCGAATTTCGCCCTAAACTTTCTGTCGCTCAACGAATAGGATTCAACAAGTAGTTGTGCTGCAGCGTGTGAATTTTGTGGGTGCGGGCCCGCACGCCGTTGCGCAAGGCGTGGCCGAGTGGTGGTGTGGTGGTACTTTCCCTTGGTGTTTGTACATTGGACTGGGTTAATAAATTTTGCTCGGACTGCAAGAGAGTGGCGGTTTGTTCTCTTCGGTTCTCGGAATGGAGGTGGAGGTGAAGCTGAAGCTGCCAGGTCGTGAAGCTCATGAGAAAGTCGCCTCATCTCTCAAGGCGTTTCATGAGGTGACGCACATGCAGGAGAATGTCTTCTTCGATGGCGCCAATAAAGAGCTGAGCTCTAAGCGAGCGGTGTTGAGGTTACGGTTTTATAATGGCGATGGAAAATGTGTTGTGACGTTCAAGGGAAATGCTGTGATTGTGGATGGGATCAGCCGAGGAGAGGAGCTGGAGGAGGACATCGACGTGTCTCTTGGGAGGGCATGTGTTGCGGAGCCGTGGAGATTGGCAACTACTACGTGCAAATTGCTGAACAAGGTTGTGGCTGACTTCGCTTGCGAGGACTTCGTTTGCTTGGGCGGATTTCGGAATGTACGGACTGTGTTCAACTGGGAGGGGCTCAAGATCGAGCTGGACGAAACGCAGTACGACTTTGGAACGACCTACGAAGTGGAATGCGAGTCCACAGATCCCGAAAGAGTTCGGGAGGTTTTAGGAGATTTTCTGAAGTCTAAGGGCATCGAGTTCACTTATTCAACCAAGTCCAAGTTCGCCGTGTTCAGATCGGGCAAGATCGAGTAGACATCTGATTGATTGAAAGGTGATCGTCTCTTTGATCTTGTCTTGCCATGTTCGGATAGGAAAGGTGTTCCCTTATGATCTAAAGTAGCGGATCACCTGGGCCCTGTAAAGCATTGTGAATATAGTGAAGACGTTGGAATCAGCCTATTGAATAAGATAATCGTGTGTTTTTCAGATTTAGATGTTGAATTCTGTATCATGCCTTCTTAGTTTGTTAGGCTGCTCAACATGATTAGATTGCTAGGTTTTCACGTTCTGCAGTGTTATGTTTTCCTACGATGCTCCTTACATGTACTATTGTCTAATTGGTTTTATTTAACCCAGTTGTATGGCTATGCCGGTAGAAATTTTCAGTGAACTGCAAGACATTTCATTTCGGGAACACGATTGGGTTTTAATGGAGTCTGCTGGCAGTTATGTTCCAGATCATGTTACACCAAAGAAAAACGTACTATAAATTTGACTATCAGTACATTGCAGACATCCTCAAGCGAGATTTAGTTTGTAGAGTCGTAGGACTTAAATGTGCTGATTGGATTAGTCTTCGTTTACCGGTCATTACCACTCTGCCCATTCGTAGCTAGGAGCACTCCCTATCACTAAGGTAGGCTCCAGATCTTCCGAAGTATCACAATACTATCGGAGGGCAACTACGTTATAGTTTGAACTAATTTGTGAGGATAACCTGGACAATCTCTAGAAACCAAAAAACTCATTTGCTTTTTACACAAGTTCCTACTCAAGCACCTAAAGCAAATCACGTTGAATGACCTACTGCTACACAATGGTGACATTGCCGACTTTTGATTACTTCCATGAAAGAGTGAATGGCAGTGTTGAGGATGAGCTCAGGACTATCCATTACGAAATTTTGGAACGGCATTTGGCAGTACGTGTGGACACCCCGTTCTCGAAACCTTCGATCCTACTGGAAGGTTCGGCACGGCCAGGGATCATAGAGAACGAGATTTAAGCTCATTGATCCAGGAGAATGTCTGTCGGAGGACACCCTAGCGACGAGAGTTGGAGGCACAGTTCCGTGGCTATGGCTACATTGTCCACACTTTGTCAAAACAATGTTAGGACTATCATTTGAGCCCTTTGTCATTCTTCGGAGATCAGCTTATACAGGTACACTTTCAAGATCTGGAGTGAAGTAATTAGTTCGGTGGGAAAGTGGTTTCATGGCGGCATGGCAGATCCAGTAGAGGATGGACTACTCTCTTCTAGGATCACCTAGCGAAGGTCAAGACGGTCACTTTGAAGTTTTCATCGTTTTACTGTTCTTTCGATTATCCTGACGCCGACTTGGCTTGTGAGGAAATCAGCGATGGAGCAACTACAGTGACTCGTCGTCTCTCGCAAGAGAACGAAGCCAAGTGCGGACAAAGCGACTATGTGTGAGCACAAGCGAGCATATGTCTTCTCCGGTGGCGGTTGCAGTGCCTGAGTGGAAGCCTCACCCAAGCCCTGCATCCGCTAACGCAGAAGACGTGACATATTGCCAAATGCTATTGGAGTTTCCCACTTGAAACTGATTGATGCCTTATCCTCCAGCAATTGCACAGTTTGAATGGAAGCCGCTATGCATTTGCTGGCGGAGATGACGTGATTAATGCAATTGGAGCTTCCCACTTGAAACTGATGGGAATTGTGGAGGAAGATGCTTTTCCTGAGGGAGCAATGTTGGACTCTCCATCAACTGGACTCATCGAAGTAAAGGGAAAGTTTTGATTCCAACGCAAACGTGGTGAAAGATCATGTCATACTTATGAGTAATGCCTGCATTTGAAACGATGTGCAATTATTGACTGAGTCGTAGCCCACATCTTCTTAGATACAAGTTTGCACACAAGTAGATAGACACCGAACACAGGATAATAAGACACTCGTGTGGACACTTCGAATGATGAGGAAGGAAGTCTTCTCCTATTCTCTTCAAAGAGGGAATAGATGCTTGAGCTGCAGAAAATTGACGGACTCAAGATGAAGGGCAAGAACGTGTCGGGCCCTCCTACGTCTTCCAACATTCAACGTTGCGGAATTTGCGGCCGGAATTGGTTCCGGCATGGCAATAGGCCAGACCTCGTTAAAAGTGGCATTTTACTAAAAAAACTCACTTTTGCCACAATTAAAACTGGTCCGTTGCCACAATTAAGCTTTTGTCGATAGTGACTTTTTCGGTCACAATTGAACTTTACGGAGGTAATTTCTAATTTTTAATCACTGCTTAGAGTTTACAAAGTGACATTTTACAAAAAAAAATTGCCAGTTTTGCCACAATTAAACTTTTTTCGATAGTGACTTTTTCGGTCACAATTGAACTTTACGGAGGTGATTTCTAATTTTTAATCACTGCTTAGAGTTTACAAAGTGACCGGAGGACAGCGGAAGAATGTTATTATCCCAACCAAGCGAACATTAGACAGCATTGGCGTTCATGTGCTATAAGTGACTGGAAAAAGAATCCCAATATCTGTGTTTTTGAGTAGATTGTGGACAAAAATAGAAGAAACACATGATCACCTAACGGATGTAATCTATGGAAGAAATGAGTATTACATACACCCCCAACTTTTCTAAAACTCTAATGCAAGAATATTTTGGCCATGAACCAAGTTCCTCTCTAGTCCTAGGATTGAAGACATAGAGATATTACTCATCTTTAGCTGAGGTTTTGAGGAGGAATCTAATTCAGGTCTTGTGGATTTTAAAAATTGACACTATTCAGTTGAAGTCTAATATACTCTCTTTAGAATGAGTAATCATGAACTCATTTCTTCTCAAAGGACTAGTTTTGTGTGCTTTGAGTATATTCACAGTGAATAATCATGCGGCCTGTTTATGGACTCTTCTAAATTTTCGATGGCTTTAGATGTCACTTGGATATAACATGACGACGGAATCTAAATTAGCCACAATGGAGAAACAACACTACCTGAAATAACCTCAATCTCTTATGATTTCAACAAGTGTCACAAGAGGTTTTCAATACAAATGCCACTTTTATGAAATTTTGGATGCCACAATTAACAAAAAGGTGGCAAAAGTGGCAAATGCCACTTTTAATGAGTTCTGCCATAGGCCCCAACCTTCAACGCTGTGTATATTGAATATGGAAGAACTGAGTGACTGAACTTTGGATCTCTTTAGAAGGGATAAAGCAATACACAATCACTATTAGGTTACTGAAATTAATGATTCTCAAGGCAACATTGCTTGGAAAGTAACAGAAGAGGAACAAATGGATATCAACAATTACTGGAATTAACCTCAAGCCCAACAAGAATATAGACCGTACCGGATGATATCATGATGAGAAACATGTCCTAAAACACTTTCCATTCTAATTAGCTTATGAAAACACGCTACACAATATACTAGAGAAAATGATATACTGGAAAAAAATATTACCGCTGCCAGTATATCTTAATTTGGTATGATATGTGAAAGAGAGTGAAGCGTTAGGGTTTAGCCACCGGGTTAAACTTGCTGCAATCAAATAACGTTATGTTCGTACCCTGAGTACGAACATGACATTTAATGTTCGTGGCAAGTTTAACGATGCGGCGAAATTCTGCTCAAACCAAAGACCTCTCGAACTCAAGAGCAAGTAAAAACCTTTGAGAACAGGAAGGATAGTGAACATGGAACTTGTCTGCTGCCAAATCATCAAACAAATCTAACACGTAGAATCTTATGAATCAGTTTAAAAACTATCATTTATCATGATTGTTTTCCTCTATGTTGCACCAGCGAATCTCCCCCAAACTGGAAAAGAAAAGGCTTGAAGTATCTCATGTATTCTAGTAATTTCTTTAACCATATCTTGTTAGGAGTTAGTTCAGTAACCATCATAGAACTCACAACGAGGTGGCTTTCATCAATTGGCATGACGTATACTGTAGAACATAATGTAAACTGATTTGATTCTGTTATTTTATCTGGTTAGATATGTTTGTATGGTGCAAAGCGCTTATATTGATATAAAAAGTAATATACTATTGACAACTCTTCAGCTGATCATCTGATGTAATATTCTATCAACCCATCAACATGAGAATACAAGATAATTACTTTGAAAGTTCGGAAATTTTCATTGCCTATTTTTGGGTCATTGAATGATTATACTAAAAAAATAATTTCCTACCGAACTGATGTATGTTTCTGACATTTTCTTATTCTTTTAATTATCTCACAGGCATTCTTCAAAGTTTATGGACCTTTTTTGGCCTACCGATTTCGGGCAGGATTCGAACTTACTTGTAAAAATGTTAGCATTTACATCCAGATTCTCTTCGGTACTAATTCCTTTGTTACTATATCACAGGAGTTGATTCTTAACACTACAAATCTCCAACAAAATCAAATCAAATGAAGCTTCCTTACATGAGTTGGATAATTTTTTCACCCTTAAAAATATTCAACTTCGCCAAAACGAGTTAAATATAGTCCAGTCTTATACCACAAGTGCGCGAGGCGTAGCATTTTTCCTAAATCATCGTTCATTTACATCTCGAACATGCAACAAATTTCACCAACATAAAGGTACTGAGATTCTACTGGAGGAAAAATGTCTTAGCAGGTCACTTGAATGACCTGCTAAGACCTGCTAAGGCAGTGAAGGTTTCCGAAGTGACTCACTTCGGAAATGTGGCCATGGGGAACCTCTGGACTATTTGCGCAATAATGATGACTTACCGAACGCCATAGCAGGTACAGAGCAATGTGACACCGACTGTCCCTCCGTCAGCCCAAATTAAGGATTTGGGACAGATTTCAAATTCCCGAACGACCAGTGTTCCACTCCCGCACAAAACAGTTCGGCTTCGGAGACCTCGACGAAGGACAATAACGACAATCGTACATCCTGTCTCAGAAAGCCCCAAAACAGTTCGGATTCGGAGACCTCGACTAAGGACAATAACGACAATCGTACCTCCTGTCTCAGAAAGCCCCGAGGGCGTCGCCGCTCACGTTGAAAGAGTTAATGAGGAATATTCCTCAGGATGCTGTGTTTGCGGATCGTCTGGAGGTGCCGCTGTTGTGCTTGCGCTTCTTGAAGGCTTTGGACGGCTAAACGTGGTCCGTCACGTCACAGTCATTGCTGCACGAGCAGCAGCAATGTGCTTCCATCTCGCCGCTCCTGTCACCTGGTACCGATGTGGGGCTTGTTGCCCTATTTCTTCTTCCATCGTCGAATTCCAGGTACTGCTAGTCTAGGGTGTGTGAACGTCTTGTTCATTCAGCCTTTCTCGAAACTGAGGATGTTGAGCTTGGTCAAGATGTTACTTTCTGGAGCACTCCAGGCGCTTCTTAGTATTTTAGAGTTTATTCATGTCGTGTGAATTGTATGTCACTCTCAACAATTTCGGTGTATCGCGATCCGGCCATGAAAATTTTCATTCGAGGTATGCGTGCCTCGTTAGATCGTACGCGGATTTTCGTGGTTGGGCGTTGATTTCCTGCAGATGGACCTTTGTGCATGATAAAACAATCCTCTACCTGTCACTATCTGTCGTTCTCTCACTTCAGAATTCGTTGCCAAACTTCGACTCAGAACTTGAAGACTGTTTTTCTCAGTAGATGAGTAGCCCTCTAGTTTCATCAAAATTCTTGCACTTCAGCTTTCGTGGCCTTTGGATTTGATATGTTGGTGCCGTCAAATCGAAAAGAAACAAGGTGAAAGTTTGGATTTCGTCAGGACCGTGTCGTGCCCTCATGACGCATAAACCCTCCTTTCATTGTGATGCGAATATCGTAGCTGTGTCGCTGTAATTGTCGTCATCTAGGACTAGATCAGTAACGTTTGTTTCAAGTCGGAGCGAACCTAAAGTCATGTCTGAAGTGGTGAAATTTGCTAGCAAGTTGTGTAGATGCCAGCCATGTCGCTGTTAAAAAGTAGCATCGAGCATTGTTGCTTGTCGATGATTATCAAAAGAAGGTTGTGTATCTTGACAAAATAGAGCTGGCATCTGCTCGACTTATTTGTTCATCGGCACGCTCCAATTTTCTTTGCATCTACGAGGAACTCCTTACGGAGCTATTGGAAATTTTTTCATTCGTCTCTTAGTGGAAAGAAATACCAGCCAATATTTTCTGAAAGGGGATATTCGCCATCCTCGGATTGATACTGTGCCCTGAATCCCTTGCATTAAATGAGAGACTGACGTTTGTACAAATAAGATTTGAACTTATCAGTTCCATCTGTTTTTTTTGACGTTATGCAGGATTCGATGTTGTGATTAGAGCTGGTACCATTTGAAGTGCATACTCTCTGGGACTGGGATTTCACACTTAACGGTGAGGGGAGGTGCGGACTGGACACAAAGACGGTGCGATGGGGGCTGACACCCTTCCGTGGATATCCGCAATCTCCTCCGAATCAGAGGATGATGACAGACCATCCGGTGAAAGGCGATACTCTGCTATAATTCGAGTAGCAAAGTCCGAGGTCTATAGTGGTGAAGACGACGACGTGCAAATTCTGAATGTATCGAAAACAGAAATCGAGTGTCTCGACCTCGATAGTGACAATTCTGTTCCTCAAAATCTGGACCATGAATTATCTGCGAGCCTCTTAAACTCCACTGGACTCAAAGAGGTATTCCAATTTGTTGGCACTAGCGAGTCGACGACTCAGCAGATTTCCTCTGTCTCCGCAAGGAAAAAGAAGAAAAACGAAGCCCGTCAACAGAGGCGAGAGCGAGCTATCCTTAGGCGTCAAGAAAAAGAAGCAAATGGTGCTGATATGCCGCTGAATTTCAGTGATGAACCAGAACGAAGGGAAGCGGAGGCTCAAGCGAGAAGGGGGCCTTCAGCTTCAACCGGTTTGGGTTTCATTGATATGGAAAGGCTGGTGACTGGAAGTAACACTCTAGAGTGGTGCAACAGCTTACGCATGTGTCAAGGACCTGAACAGTCCAACCTTCATTGGAACGTGGTCAAGTTCTGCAATGCCCACGAGCTTACTCCTGAACAAATAGACATCAGGAGGGACGCCCTAGAGTATGTGAAGCAAGCTGTATATGAAATATGGCCGAGTGCGGAGGTCCATCTGTTTGGTTCCACAGCAACGGGTTTGGCTCTTCCTTGGAGCGATATCGACGTCGCAGTCATGTCACCTATGCACAGTGGTACCTGGCAAAAGCCCTCTACGATGTCATGGCTTTCAGCTCTCAGTCGAAATCTCAAACGCCACGGTCAGTGCAAAAAAATAAGGCCAATACCGTTTGCCAAAGTCCCACTCTTGAAAGTTGTGTTCACCACGGGACTTGCTTGTGACATTTCTTTTGATGTACCGAACGGACCCAGAGGAGTGCCTGTTATTCGAGAGTTCATGCAGCACTTTGAAGCTCTTCGCCCTCTTTGTCTTGTTCTCAAATACTTTTTGGGACAGAAGGATTTGAATGAGCTTTACACAGGCGGGATTGGGAGTTTCTGCCTGATCAATATGGTCGTGAGTCATCTCCAGAATCTGGGAGTGCATGGATCGGGCCACGATCTTGGGGTCCTTCTGCTATCATTTTTCAATCATTATGGCATCATGCATGACTATCGGAGCGATGTGGTATGCACGCGGCCTGGTTATTGTGCCCCGAAGCCCGTCAGAGGCTGGGTGAAGGCCAGCGATCCCGACCTTCTTTCGTGCGAAGATCCGCTAGATCCGACTTCGGATATTGCTAAGGGATCGTACAGAATCCATGATGCCAAGAGGGTTTTTTTGAAAGCTAAAACAGCTTTACTTGCCCACTGGCATGATGAAGATGTGCTAGCTCAATTGATAGACACATCCCAGCCTCCGTCTGGGGTTAAGCCGAAGCCGCAGAGTCTCACTTCAACTCCTGCTTCTACTCCAACGTCTACTCCTGCCTCTACTCCTGCTTCAGTTGGGAAGAAGAAACAGAAGCAAAAGAAGAGGAAGATGAAGAATCGAGGTGTGAGCAGCAGTGATGACGAAGAGGATACACCATCAGAACAAGTACGGAAGAGGCAAAAGTTTCGCGGCAAGTCCGTCGAACAGGTCAGTGACTCTAAGCGAAGAAGACTCTCAACTGTACAAAGACCTGCAAAGCTTCAGAAGAAGAAGAAGAGGAAACAAAAACTGGAAAGGATATACTTAGACTTTTGGGGTAATCATGTGAATACAAAGCCAAGGAGGACAGGGAAAGCTGCTAGGAAAGGAAGGTCGTGAGCCCATAGAGGTATATCGCCTCCCTACCTACTAGAGACCAGCTACTGTTTCTCTCGGTTTGGCTTGACTTAGTACACATGTGAAAGGTGCTGATATACGTAGTAGCCCTATCCGAAAAATGCACCCCTCCTTTAGGCCTTCTAGTGTACTTATACCAGACATACTTAAGGCAAAGGCCGGCTTTATCAGATTCTCCACATTGCACTCGCATCCGATTGTAATTCTTTGTTCATACTAATGCAGACTTTAGACGGACTCCAAGCTGATGAGAAGCCGGGCGAAGTACTCGGCGGTGTGCAGCTTCACTCAGCCACGGAGAATGTGAAAGATGGGAGCTAGATCGACTTATTGTTCTTCATCTGCAATATATGGAAAAAAGCTTGTCCATGAGAAGGCTGGCGTCTCCGGTGAACCAACGGATTTCATGTACATATGAGGTAGGAAGCTTTCTCATATGCCATCCCTCCTTGAGCGGGTACATCCACATTGTTTTCTTGGATTTAGGAGTGGCAGAAGCGTTTTTACCTATTTAGTCGCAAAGCGGACGATGAATTCTGTACTTCCCTCAACTTTGTTTCAAGAGAATATGGGGAGTCTGACATCGTGTACTAGAGGGTCAGTAGAAAGGTCTCTTTTCGTTTTCCGGTTTCGGCCAAGCATTTTTTGATGATCTTTTGGATTGTCTATCCTTCTGAAATTGTACATTATGCAGCCGAATGGCTTGCCCATTTTTACCGCCAATCTCATCATTTTTGTCATTGTCAGAAGTAGTTTCGCCCTGTTTCTGCACACGGTGACTACACAGAGCATAATCACTTGGTGTATGGCTGAGCCCATGGAGTTGGGTATCACAAGCATTGTATAGCTTCTGGCAATGCGTGGTGTAGCCGTATCCAGTGAACAAGCAGCATATAGACTCACACAACAATTTCTGTTCACTGTGACGATTTTTATGCTTGCCATACCCGGCGAGCATCCATAGCAATGTCATTGATTCCCTGGTGAGGCCCATTTGTTCGGGCTATGGGTCATTCTGGTCATTGTTGCGATTTGCCTGCTTTTGCCTCACCTCGTGACCTTGTGCTAGTCTACTGAAGCTTACACCAGAAAAAAATTAGTTGCACACAGGCCCTGTGTGCAACCAAAATTGCATCTAATGTTAACGAACAAATTCAAGCGTAAAACGAAGGAAAGAATCCGAGGACCAGATCGTTTATTATTCCTTTGGGGACCAAAGCTGGAGTGTTTGAATTTTGACTCAGAGATACTTAGTTTAGTTGTATTCAGATTCAATTGAACTAATCTCTTTAGAGCTCTTGGGTGTAAAGCTCCAAAAGTCATTTACTGTTTAGACATTCTGGGTTAGTAGTATAACTGAGGGCCAGCGAATTCAAGGTACCTATCACTTAATTCAAGGTTGTATACATAAGAGCAGCTATCTACAAGAGCCACATCTAGTCCTCACTATCACTGACAGTTTACCTGTCCTGCTTATGTCTACTGAGCATCTCAATTTCGTCGAATTATGTCGCGTTCAGTATCCCTCGTTTGACTACTTAGTGTTACAGTTTGATCATTTATTTGTCACACTTTTATGCCTGCCGCATTCTTGATCCCACACCCAGTCATGGAAGTTCAATCTTATGACTCATATAACTCAATGTAATCTGCCTTATTCTAAGCAGTCCTGAGCTGTAATTGTTCTTATCACCATAAGAATCTGATATTTGTACAGCAAAGCATTGTATCCAACAAATGAGGTTTTCCCACGTCATGGACATTACTTCAACCGCTAGTTGGAGCAAGATATCTCTGGTTGAAATTGCATGTGGCAAGCAAGGAGTAACCCTGTCTCTTGTAAGCTACAAGACACTACCAAGGGATTACTGAGCTTACAGACAAGTTGTCTGGAAAGTAACTGCGGAGATTTGATTAGTGTACGTTTGATATGGAAGGAAAATAAGTTTGGAAAGAGCATATTAATCGGAAGTATTGAAGAGGATAGTTGTAAAAGAAAGCGTTTGGAAGGCTAGTGTAAAAGCCAAACTAATACTGGACATTGCAGCATGTTGGTGTATCTGCCAAATCTCCTTGTAAAGAATTAATACTTTTTGAGGATTCTTCAGCATGATTCTTAACTTACGTTCATCAGATCTACAATTTTATCCAAGTAAAGTGGTTTCTTAAATCTGATGCCCAGTACAAATTTTGTCACATGTAAGGATATGATACACAGTACAGAAGTAACATCACGTGCTAGAGATGAAGTAACAAATTAATTTGTTGCTTTATAGATAGTACTGTACGTGAAACGAGAACATCTCCAATTTTTACTTGTAGATGGATGTCGAAGGTATTTCTTCAATTAACCTTTGCATTCTTAGAACCTCATTTTTGTGCAGTCATTACATTGTGTTACGCTGTTGTCATTTAAAGAAGAAAGGTTGAATGCATCAGGAAAGAGAAAAATGAACTCATTCTTCCCAACCCGAACTGATACAAAAGCACAAGAACGTCCAGTAATAAATGCAACGAAAAGAAACCGGATAGTAATTTGATAAGACTCGGTTGGAATTTTTTAATCTTCATCAGGCTGATTATATTGCATTTTTATAAGTACATCAGTTTTTTTAGATAAACATTTTAATGTATGATACATAAATTTTAACTTGTTGGAGATCACATAAATAAATTTTCGTGTATGCCTAAGAGACAAGAAATCAAAATATGGCTTATGTTAAAAAAAATTATATATAAATTGGAAACTTAATCTGAATTGTTTTAACAACTTGTTAGGTATCAAACAGGGAAAAAAAGAATTTTGTTACATATAATAGTAAAAAACCTTTATTTAAACCACGGTAAGTTATATTCCTTTTTTTTTAGCAATTTTTTTTCCTTGAATGTAATTTTTTTCGAGGTATATTTTCATCTTATTCAAATATTGACAAATCTTGAATATGATAAGAGTATCATAATATGGCGTATTAATTTTACGGAACTTTTAATGTATAACATGAAAATATAGTTGTAAAATTTTGAATTTTTTAGTTTGAGGTTAATATCTAGGATTAATGTTGATGGACAAGATATCACACATATAGATTTCGAGTTGGACATACCTTGCTATTTCGCTGATTTAAGTAACATTGCATAGAATTATATCTTTGAATACATGTAGGAATCATTAAAATCTCTTGTTATTTGATATTAATTGTGTAAATTTAACAATTTTGATTCTTGATCATTTGATAAATTTAGTGTTTTGTAATTTAGATATTATATTTTGTAAAAATATTGTAATTTCAAAATTTTGACATACATTTATTCAGGTTATGTGTTAATCTCAGGTTCTATCTAAAAATAGTGAAAATTGTTGCAGATGTTATGATAGTTATATTCTAGGGTTTGTGTATCAAACACAACATTCAATATAAGTATACATTTTTCCCGTAAACATAGATTTTCTGGTGAATCAAGTTATATCTTGGTGTTGTTGTTTATTGTAACTTGATTGTTGTGTGCTTGTGATTTTTGATTAAGTGTTAATAATATTTTGATATTAAAATTTTGAAATTTAGAGTTTAGATTTGTTTACTTTGACTTTGGGGCGTATTCACTTTGGTTTGAACATTTCATATTAACATTTTGGATTGTGTATATTGTATCAACAAGTCTATTTGAATTTTAAGTCTTCATCATTTTGTTATGATATTTTGTATCAAGTTGTGTTCATATTTGCATCATCATTTTGTATTAATATTTTATATCATTTGATCTACATTTTGTATGAGCTTGTTTTAGTTTAATATTATTCTTTATTATCTAATATTAGTATTATTTATCAACTATATTCCAACGTTTTGATTCAAAATTTTGTATGTTGTTGCACAACTACGAGTTGATTCTTATGTGATAATATTGATATTCAAAGTAGTGAAAAAATAAGAAGCTAGATGCATATTAATGTCCATATATGTCCATATCCATATATATATATATATATATATAACTTTCCGCCTAAGTAAGCAACTTGAAGAAGAATTTATTCTGAACATTTAGCTGGTAATCTTGCATTGCACATGAATCATTTACTAATAGCTTGATTCGGTTGCAATGTCAAAAAATCACTCGAAAAATATTATAGTCTCAAAAGTGTGATATTATAGAAAAGCTAAACAAGACGAATGATCCCAATACTACTATGTTATTAGAGAAGTTATCAGAATAGATGTGAGACATTCAAAATATAATACTAGAATGATCTATCTAAAATCTGATGAGACAATTTTGTTTGGAAAACTCTGATCACTTTACAAGCAAATTGTTGATTTAAAGTATCATTAGCAGTGATCTAAAGTTTTAAAAAGGTTTTAGAAGACATTCGGTGATCTTAGAAGTTTTTTGCATACTTTTAAAAGAAGTTCTGATTTCTCACCTTGTAAGACAAACTCCAAAATCCTCAAAATTTACATCGGATAAAAGTCCATGACTTTTTGAACTAAATAAACATTTTCTTGGAAAATAATGCTTTCTTTATTGACATACATACTTAAATGGTTGCATGATCAGGCTTAGTACACTATATAGTATAGTTGGATGATGCAACATAAAGTTGCACAAGATGGCCTATTTTAATTTGTATTTGGAAAAAAAATTTGCACTTTGAAAATTTAGTCAAATTTGCATAGATTTTGCAATTTTTGCTTAGTTTTCATCTTAATACTAAATTATATGATATTTGAATGATGATATAATGACATGACAATAATATGTAAAGGTCGTAACAAAAGTTATAAACTAAGATACATAAAAAAATATTTGTAATTAGATTTTTTTCTTTATGAAGGTGAATTTTGCAAGACTAAATGTATTGATAGACACAAGGATTTTAGATATGTTTATTTTTTAAAGGATATTGCTATAAAATTTTTAGAAATTTTTTTCCAAATTTTATAAAAAAAAGTTACATGACATTCTTACGTTGATTTCATAAGTATAATTTGTGAAATTTGCTATAACCTTATTGCCTAAAACTAATATTTTCTGTATTATTATGTATTCTAAAATTTATTATGATGACTCATGATATATATCATATTGAGATGTATATATCTATTTTTTTTATTTTTTTGTGACAAGTTGGTTATACAAATATTCAAAACTAACCACATTGTAGTATTCAGTATGATATAATTGATATTTTCAAACTTATTTTTATTTTTTGAAAATATGTGAATACATTGAGTGATCTTTTATATTAGTTATTTTTTACTAAATTAAATTGTATTTTGATTTGACATTCAATGTTAACAAAGTATTCTTGAAATTTTACTTCTAGTTTATTTTTCCAATTGAGGTTTTAAATCTGAGTTGAATAATAAAATATATTATTGTGAAATACTTGTGGATAAACTGGAAATCATATTAGTAATCATTGCGAAAAAAATTCGAATTTCTATTAGAAGTCATAATTCTAGATGCTATGTAATAAGGTATCTAATATCTTGATGCTATATTTTGAACATTTTGTAAAAAGATAGACTAGTTTTTCTTTAATTAATACTAATTATCCCTCACCCTACTAGGCCTTTGCAACTCTTGACAATCCATGTCAACTTCGATCCGTGACTAATCGTACAGGCTTGTTTGCGATTCAGGTACGGTGAGGATCTATCCAAGTACTTGGGCCTGTTGTCCGGCCACTTCATTGTACTTTACCAATGAGTTCCAGATGACTACGGTTGGAACACCGACGGATTCTATGTCTACCCGGAGACCTTCACCAAGAACTGGGAGTTGAGGTGAACCACGTCCAATGGGCCATGTTGGGAGCTTTGGAATGTGTGATCCCCGAGCTGATGGCCAAGAACGGAATGAAGTTCGGCAAGGCAGTCTAGTTCAAGGCCAGATCGCATATCTTCTCTACGGTTGTTTGGACTATCTGGGCAACTCTGGACTCGTCCATGCACACAGCATTTTGGCCTGTTCATGGAAGCCATTGAGGTATCCAGAGTTGCATGAGAACTCCTGGTAGAGGTGAGCGATCCGATCTATCCGAACCTCAATTTGACCCCCTGAACTTGGTTGAAGACCCTGACACCTTCGCCGAGCTGAATCACGGAAGGCTTGCAATGTTCTGCATGTTTGGATTTTTCATTCATGCTACTGTCACTTACAGAACTAGTTCAATCATTTGGTTGACTTGGCTAATTATTCCTCATCCTAGTATAGGAGGATGAAGATAACGAGACTAATAGTGATAACTAGCCGCCACTTTTCTAAATTCTTATGTAAATAAATGATCTAATTTTTTTACCCAAATATTTTTCCACATTTTGGATATTGTTTAGCATTTTGAGATTAGTTTAAATCATAAAAAACATTCATCAGGATCTTTACATGCATACAACAAGTGAGTATATGTTCACCTTGCATGTTCATTTGCTATGATTGTATAAATGTCTTATTTTGAGATGGTTTGACTTCTACAACTTTTCTCATATCTTTAGATGTGTCACATTATGTCTAGATGAGATCAATTGATAAGGTATATATTCAACTTACACATTGTCTTATTACAAATTATAGAAACATAAAATGTAATTCAATGAATGTTCATTATTTTATATTTCAATTCACACTCTTTCTACATATTCCATATACAAAGGGTTTTGAAATTATTTTTAGATGTTTCTGCTAGGCCATTCTTATTTGATAAATTAGTAGATTCTACTGCATATATAGCAAAGTTTTTGTGTGTGTGTGTGTATATATATATATATATATATTGCGATACAAAAGTAATATAATTGACGTTATATTCTCATGTTTTTACATTTATTTCCAAAATATTTCACTCAGAATATACTAGCTACATCATCTTCAACTATACTTTACCTAGAAAGCTTGTAGAGGACTTTCAAAAAATTATTGACATAAATACAAGTAGTATACATGTAAATACATGTAGTATACAATTCACTAACTCATAATGTATGAGTTAGTGAATTGGGTATGTCAAAACTGGGAAGATCTTCCCGAGACGACAGCGAAGCTTGTTCATAGCCGCACCAATCCTGACCTCCTGATATCGGGGACAAACGAATGGATGATGAACACACTCTACATTTAACTATTCACTTTTACTCAAAGCAAGCCAAGGTCTGCAGCCATTTACAAGGAGAGCTTTTGCAGAGCTCAATGGATGCGAGTACCATTGTAGTATACAACATCTGCTAGGGCCACTAACCCTTCCCTATCGACATTGGGGCAATTATCCACAGTGAGGCATCTCAACCTTCTGCAGCGCCTAAGGGTATCAAAGCATGCATCAGGATCGTCACAATCTCGGATTATGAGCTCATCTAGAACAGAATTATTTACAATTTCCAAATCTTCAAAACATAAAAGACGGCATCGTACAAGCTCTAAAGACTTCAAACTAATTGACCTAAACACGGCAGTTATCACTTGAGCTGAAAGTTGGATAGCAGACGTGAGTATCAACCTTCTAAGATTTGAACAGTTCTCCACCATGGCCGCTATACCTGCACTTGAGAACACTGGACTTGGATCGAATTCCCAGACTGAAAGCTCTAAGGTTTCAAGGTTCGAACAGAGTTGAGCTACAGCCAATAATCCGACATCAGAAAGCAGTGGATTCATAGGATGAAGATGAAGATGGCCCATAGGTGCCCTCAGATAAAGGGAAGAAAGCTGAGAACAATTATGAGCAATCATAAGTAAGTCTTCGTCGCTCAATCCAATACAGGTGTCGAGTCTCAGGTGACGAAGCGAAGAACTCTGAAACATCAGCGAATACAAACCTGTACCCAATTGGGAGAGAGATTTGGTCAAGGAAAGCGTTTGCAGATACGGGAACCGCTCTTGCGGCCCATCGTCTACTTGCGTATCCTCCATGCTCCAAGAATTCAACAGAACGGCTTGCCGACCATTATATCCGTACGTGTTTCCTTCGATACCATGAATTAGATCGACCTCGAAGGAAAACTCTTGTAAATTGTGCCATCCCCTGTGACCGAGTCTCCTGAGCTCAAGGTCTCCGACACACCTGCATTTTTTGACTGCAAAGCTTTGGATATTTCCTTTCCTGCCAAGAAAGTCGAGCCACTCGACTGTTCTCACACTCACCAGACTCTCGATGTGAAAAAGCGTCAAATCCCTACATCCGGAGACCAGTGACAAGAGGCCGCGCCCAGTTACACAAGGTAGGAAATTGAGTCGAACGCTCTGTAACCGTTTACAGAGCGTGAGGTTTCCCATGCCGACATCGGTTATGAAGCAACAGAACACAAGCGACAAGTCTGAGAGCTGATGACAATTTTGAGACAAAATTTTCAGCGCACTGTCATCAACTTGGTTGCCCATGCTGGAAATCCACCTCGGATACGCAATCTTCACCTTCGATAGATTGATGAATCGAGTTGACAGGGCAGCAATGGCAGATCTGGGCGAATTCATTTCACAACCCACACAAATCTCCGTGCGCAAAACTCTCTCTGCATCGTAAAACCTTCTGCAAACCAATCCAGCGTTGTTCCGGTCCACCACTCTGTTCAAGCACCCAAGAACGATGGCCAACATGTCGTCTGTTAGAGAATCCATTGATGATCTCCTGCGCCCTGGGAGAATTGGTCTGATGCCCTGTGGGCAGAAATCGGTGAATCCCGTCGACGTCCTCGCGTGTTGAATCGAAGAGAGGAATTGTTGTGTGATGACGAGACTCTGAAATCATGATGTCATCTTCCGCAGACACCCACCATGTATGTTCTGATTTGTGACGAATACACTCCTGTAATATAATAATATACTAATATATTATTATAATATATTTACTATTGAATATGTAAATAAGAGATGTAAAGTAGTGACAAATTTATCGCTCTATTTATTAAATAATAAATAGAGTAACATTTTCCACTATTTATAATTCATAATGATTGATAAATATGTTGAAATTGAAAATTATAATGAATAAACAAAGACTTGTTCGTTAGTGATGCAAAATTATTGAAAGATTAAGGTATAATTTTGAAAAATACATTCTAAATTTTTATTTATATAAAAACTATCATATAGATGTCAAACATTTCGAAGAATCATCATTTCAAAAGATATTATGAATAAGATACAAGCTATGAACTTAAACAGACATCTACATCCAAAGTACCTTACTGTATTGGTTTGTAATGCAAAAAACTTGATTATCCATAATTTATTATCAGAGTCATTAAACTACTTCCTTTGATTCGACTTAAATTCATCATGAAAATGATATTGCCCAAATATGAAGCAAGAGAGAGGGATATTTAAAAAACCCAATTAGTCAACAAAAATTATGGGAATTTTCTAGTCAAGAGATATGCTGATTGTTATTTTGGGTAAAACAATTTATTTTTTGGGAGATTTGTGGGAAACATAAATCAAAACATGAAACGTAAATAAATAGTTTTGAAATAATATGTTGAACGGTATCCATGTTTTATATGTAGGTTCGAATAAGGTACTACACAGAATCATGTACAAATATAGACTTGTTACTTGTGGGCCCACATCCGCAATAAGGACCACACGGGAAATGTCAAAAACAGACAAACGTAAACGTAGACGTACTCGAAGCACAACTTTTGTGACACACGGAAACATGTGACCATCCTTGCTCAAACCAGTCTTCTACTTATACCAATTTCATCTCGTCGCTCAGCAGTATCATTTTTACGAACATGACATTGTCGGATCGCCAACAACTGTCACCAGCTGTTGCATCACCTTCATTCGCATGTCATGTAGAGAATAGAGCTTAATGTTATCTACATCGGGTAGTCTAGAATTCAGATGTTGAGAATTCCGAGTCCGAGTCTCCTGTTGTGGAGCTGCATCCTGGGCATTCAGAGGTCTTTCGTAGCGACTGCCGCTCCTCCATACGATCAAGTTCCGCACGAAACTTTTTCATTCTTCTTAGGAATGAATCTGATAAAAGTCGCTCCTCAGCTCTTGTGATCGTCAGGCTGGTGAGATCTGCACGATAGTCTTGCAGCCGCCGTTCCAGATTCGCTCGTAACCTCAACCAGATCGCCCTCTCTGCTTTCAGTTCCCGTAAGTTTTTTGCTAGCTTCGGGACTTCTACCACTTCTGTCGTGGTTGTGGCCAGCTCTTTGGCAAACGGTTCCCGCATATCACTAGAAGTTGTTTCATCTCTTATCAGCTCACGAAGCATGACGTCTTGGTCTAGCTCCTCCAATTCCACTTCATCCGTAGTCTTTCTGAGAGTTGACTCCAATGACTCCTCTGTTGCATTCGCCTCCTCTCTTCTGTATAGACTCACGTCTGTTTCATCCTGAAGTGCATGGTATGATACAACTCGACGCTTGGGTTGCTCGCCTGCTTTCTTCGGGAAGTCACTCTCCATCGGTACCTTCACAGTTTTAGTGTCGTAAAAGCCGATGATTCCTTCGCGAACAACTTCCTTCCGTGAATTGGAGGAGGTGAAATGTCGAACTTCTGTTCTTGCGCATTACTTATACTGAGTCCCCACTCTCCGAGCTTCGATCGTCCGCCTCCTCAACGAGCTAACGGTGGGTCGTATCCCAAGTATTCTGTGCAACTGAAATCACTTCATAGCACACGAAGAGTGTGAAGATGAGCCTGTATTAGTTGTACTGTCCACTTGCTCACAGAAAAGGGAGGCCAAGTGGTTAACACAAAAAAGGATGGGTATTGCTTACGTTAATGATTAGATATGCAACGTACAGCCAACTGCTATCAAGTTGGGTACTGTTGTTGCTTCCCTTCACTAGTGGCCAGGTTGAAGCAAGGCTGATGAAAATCTTTACGGTGTAGGGAATTATGGGAAAGACGCATTTGGAGGTTGCGGAAACAATTAGATTAATCTCATTCTTCAAGTGACGAAAATTCTTAGCATTGTCGGTTTTTTGGTAGGCCGCAAGAGAAAATCTCCTGATATTATACGAGCAGTTTAAGCATGCAGCTTGCAGAGATGTCTGTCTACCGTGTGAACAATACGACAGACCAGCAAATCAGTGAGGCCACATATTCCATCGGTCTTATCCGTGAGGAGCTATGAATGTTTCAGTGGAGAGTATTGGGTGAAAACTGACAATCACGAATTTCTTTGGAAGCTGGTGCTGAATCACCTTAAAGACCCCGTGATGTACTGCTCGAAGTGGAGATTATACCTTATACATTACATCCTAAACTTCCCTTATTCTACTGAATAATGGAAGTTTAGAATATAAGGTATATCAAATGTTCACTTGACTGGATAATCCCCATCTTTTTGCGAAATTAGTTCTAAAGTTGGTGCTTATGAATATTAAGTATTTTCAATAATTCAATAATTTCTAAATATATAAAAAAAATTATACAGTAACACAGAACAGGATTTTATTTTTTTGATCTTTAAATTTTTATATCTATTTATGTAAAGAAATGATTCCAAATGATGTTATTAGCATGAAAATTGAAATATTTTGAATTTTTTTCAATGAAACTGTATTCACAATTACTATTTTTTTATCAATCATGTATTTTTTTGATACACAAGAATTTCAACTACTAACAAATAAATTTTTTACTTTGCATGTATAAATTCCAACTAATTTTTTTTTTAATTATCAGTCCATAGAGAAGTCAATAAAAAATAGTTCTTATTGATTTATGATCTAGTTATAGCAAGTTCTACCAAGCTTTAGGTTTTTCAATTTGCCTCATCTAACTTTATTTCAACGATATGTTTTTTTTTCTTAATTTTATTTCTGTATGTTGAGTGAAAGAAATGAAAAAGAGACGCATTGAAGAAAATGCTTTCATAAATGCTCATGTGTGAATGTGATATTATTGTACATTCATAATGCATTCATTCAAGTCAATGCATATCTAAAAATCGGAGTATAGTTTTAAACCATTCCAATAGAAATATGGATTTACTATTTCTAATGGATTGTGAAATTGTATACCTCACATGTAGACCTTGCTAGTATGTTTCGTATTATATCAAAATGGAGGCTATACTATACATTATTCAGAAAATGTATAGTGTTCATTTTTACATTGCAAATTTTCTGATTATCAATCCCTAAATTCCAAACTTCTACTGCTTATCATCTAACATATGGTAGATATTTTGAGTGAATGAAAACTCATGATATTGAGTATATATTGGTAGCGGCAAAAGCGAGATCTCCAAGTATATGGATATGGAGAAAGCTTACTCTTGTGTTCTTAGCTCTGGAGTTATGGATGTAATGAGAGCCCGGGAGACAGCGTGTGTTTGCATTATACACAGAGCCCACTCGCCAACATGATACATTAGACAAACATCACGTTAAGAGTATGCAGCATTCCAGTATTGTGTTTTATAGTTAAGATAATAATTTTTTATTACTTGTATCATCACGATATAATTGGGCACTATCCCTCTTATTATCTGAGGGTTGATGGAGTATTATCATCATTGTTTATAATATAAACATCATTCATATAAACATCATGAACTTTATATCCATATGGCCCCTATTTTTTGGCAAGAATGGAAAATAGTGATATTTAGTACAAGTTTTTAGCACCATATCAACATGAACAAATAAAAACTTAAGTGAGTAATGGAGTAGTCTCCGCTGGCCCATTATCCCTTTCTATCTCAAAACCCTAATATGTCTCGGACGTAGCTGCCGGGACAGAGGACAACATCCAACCAAACGTTTCAAAGCAGATTCCACAAATCCAAATTTTACAAGTTATATTTAAGATCATCAGGATATATACTAAAAAGTGACTGGATCATTGGTTATACATTTTGCACATATTACTTTGAACCTTGAACGAGGGTGGCAGCAGGGTTTGAAGCTTGACAGGCACGGGCTACCCGGCAATAAGTGTCTGAAATAAGAGCAAGTTTACAGAAAGAAAGGATTACCAACTACTATACCAACAAGGAAATCTAGACCCCATCAAGCGTGCTGAGTGAGATGGGTGATCATCATCTACATACACCTCGTAAGAGATGCCACATATATTTCCTGAGCAGCTTGTAGCTCCTGAAGCATGGCAAGCCTATGTCAAAACAGGACACGTACGTTTCATAAGACCTCAAGCTTGGGGAAGATCTGAAAATTTGCCGTATTATCCCGTAAATCCCGTTCACAAAGTTATCCATTTGCAGTCTTGGAGGTCCGTGCTGTTTCTGTGTCATTACTTTTAAAAGCAGTGATGTACATGGCGGCAAGGTGAAAATACGGTCTTCAGAAGCTAAGTCGAAGCGGTGTTGGTAAATCAGAAGCCTCTCCTCCGATACGCAACCCACGGGAATTGTTGGGAGCGCAAGTTGAGCTAAAGCAATCGCAGACAGGACCAAAAACATTATTGGTCCAGTTCTTCACGTAAAACTAGGAGTCTGGGTACAGTAAGATATGAAGTCTCGGACATGGAGAACAATTGATCCAAATTTTGCTCATGAAGAGATACGGTATAATCTTTTTAGTCTGAAATATGCGATGTCCTTAGCTTTATTTACATGCAAAACGTCCAAAATTCCATACTCCGAAAACATCTTGGTGCTCAGCTGAGTTCCACACAAATTCGAGTTATTGGAAAGTGCACGCACGACGACTGTGAGCTGTGAAAGTTATCTTCATGTCCTCGTCGACGGGTTTCCATCTCCTGATATGAATCAGTCTGCATGCATTCTTTCACGGTGATGTACTTTGTCAACAATCGGAAAAGATCCGGGAAGCGAAGTGCACGACCACATAATCCACAGATCGATGGAACGTGAAGATCGTGGCTTGGGCTTATAAGAAAAGTCGAGTTTTTCCACGAACAGGACATGCATGTGTGGAATTCATGCAAGAAGCCCGCACAAGGTACAGGAAGACGCTGTGAGTGAATTTCACTACTGGAACACCGTAAAAGAGAACATTCATCTGCATGGTGACAGCACGTACGGCACTAAGTTGGGTCTGGCGGGTTGATGCTGCCCGGAAGAATCTCTACGTATCCTCGTTATGTTCGTTGCCTTCACCTTTGCTGGATCCAGAAATGTACAGTTACTCAGTGACGGCCTCATCGGGTACTGACGCAGAAGAAACTTTGGTTCTCTTTCTGGCTGCCTTACTCTCAGCAAAAGTAGTCTCAAGAGTTGAAGATCGTTGGTTTAGCGAATATCCAACTCTAAGGTCCTCTCGAGTTTTCTCGAGGATTTCACTTCCTTTGTCAAACTGTTCGAAGCCCAGTTGCAAATTACAAAGGGATGGATTTTTGTGAAAGGGCAAGAATCGATTTGCGTCAAGACCTTGGTAGCAAGTCCTGAGCTGTCCTTGCCAAATTCGCCAGGGCTGAAAGTTTCATCTCCAGCTGTCTCTCTGCACCCTGAAAATCGTATCTCTGCAGAAATTCAGCGTGTTCGGTCTTGAGGCTGTGAATCTATTTCACTTCGACAAGAGATAACTGCTACTTCGTTGTTCTGTCTTGAGCATCATACCCTGTTCTATACATCGAACCTCCATGTCCTCGACTATTCTTGCTATCTTCTCTTCCTCCATGTGCTGGTGGCCCACCTCCTCCTCATGATCCGATACGCTTAATTCACCTGAAGAACATGTTATACCTTCTCACTTTAGACCTCAAAAAGCCTGCATCTCCACAGGCTCTTGATACATCAGAGTGCCAACTGTTTCCTTTCCAGCAACCGGCTGACGAGACTGGATCTCAGTGTTGCAAATTCCTTGAAGACAGAACGGCATTGAGGGCAGAGGAGACATTGAGGGCAGAACCTGAATAACAGAAACTCCGGTCCACTAAACTAAGGGGCCTGAAGCAATCAACACATGAAAGCCACGAACGAGGGGATTGAATACACAACTACCAACCATACAGACTGAGAGTGGATTGTATCAATGTGATCATCGACGTGACGTGAGAAATTTAAATTTTATATTCAATTGCAGAATCGATCTCTCTTGATACGGCTTCAAATGTAGGCGGATTGTTCATGTTTTCAAAATATACTCAGCTTCAAGAGGAACGTACCTTCAGTTTCGACAGATTGTTCATGTGCCGGAGGCTTTTGTGTGACACTTCGAGCCCCTCGTCCCGACGTCTATGACAAGGCAGGAATCATATCTGCAGGTTTTGAGGAGCAAGGCATGGAGTAATGACCAGTAGACAGTTGCAGAGAATTTCGTATCACAGAGTTAACACGATCATTCGTCTTATTCAGAGTCCTCGTACAAGTGCGCTAGCGAATAATAAAATGTATTTGTAGTAAATGAGTGCGCGAGCGAGAGTGGCTCGCTCGATATTCAAAGCGTGCCCCATTTAAGATGTGGCATCTCGATTGAACTAAGATAGAATTGAATCTAGAATTGCATTGTGAGTCTAGAAACTGACGCCATTTTTGTGGATAATAGTTTTATTCCTAATAGTAGACAAATTATGAAGACAAAATAAGTGGCTGTGGAAGTCCCAGGCACCGATTTGACTCAAAACTCCATTGAGATCTCTAGATTATAAGGATCTAAATCACCGTAATTTAGATTCTCATTGGTTACGAAA